AATAGCAAGAAACTGCTAAAGAATCTCTAAAAAATACAATGTGTTGATATTTGCTCTTTGATTGTGAGCTACATGTGGCATCTGTTAAGTAGTGTTTTGGCACAAAACATTTGAAAAACTCTGACTTACTGTACTTTTGCAGCTCCCTTTCAAATACAGGTATAGAACTCTTTAGAGATCAGTTTGTGAAAAACATTCAATACAGTTAACTAACACCTTTTTCCAGGCTAAGTTCGCCTCTGGAAATGCTAACTCTCTATCTGCATTAACGTTTTATACAGCCTAGACAATCACTTTCAACTCTCTATCAAATTTTAAATGACCAAAGGTACCTTTGTGCTTTAAACTATGGGTGGGCAGGGCCTCATATTATCTGAATGGTAATGAAGTTCCAGGTTATTTAGTAGCTACTGAAGGCAGCAGCCCAGCAGAAAAGGACCCGGGGGGGGGGGGTTTGATCAACACCAGCTGAACATGAGCCAGTGTGTGCCCAGGTGATCACAAAGGCCACTGGCATCCTGGCCCGTATCAGAAATAGCATAGCCAGAACCAGTGACTGTCCCACAGTACGGGGCACTGGTGAGGCCACACCTTGAACAGTGTGTCCTGTTCTGGGCCCCTCACTACAAGGAAGACTTTGAGGTACTGGAGTGAGTTCAGAGAAGGACAACAAACCTGGGGGAGGGTCTGGAGCACAAGTCTGATGAGGAGTGACTGAGGGAGCTGGGGGTGTTTAGGCAGGAGAAAAGGAGGCTCAGGGAAGACCTCATCACTCTCTACAACCACCTGACAGGAACTTGTAGCCAGGTGGGGGTCAGGCTCTTCTCCCAGGCAACGAATGATAGGACGAGAGGAAATGGTTGTGCCAGAGGAGGTTCAGTTTGGACATCAGGAAGAATTTCTTCACTGAAATGGTTGTCAAGCATTGGAATGGGCTGCCCGGGGAAGTGGTGGAGTCACCATCCCTGGAAGTGTTCAAGAAATGACTGGACGTGGCACTTAGTGCTATGGTTTAGTTGACATGCTGGTGTTCAATCAAAGGTTGGACTCGATGATCTTGGAGGTATTTTCCAATTGTAATAATACCATGATTCTGTAAGATAAAGTAATAGAGTCTTCACCGCAGCCTGAAGCTGAGTGCACAAGCAGCAGAATTGGCTGCCTTAACAAAGACTTGCCAGTAGTCCAAATAATAGACTATAAATATACCAATTCTCTGGGTTTATTTGGAGTCTGCCATACCACTGTACAGTTATGGAAGCAGTGAGGGTTTATAACCCCTAGCAGGAGTAAGTACCAACCTGTTCAAAGCTACAGAGTTTCCAGAGACATTAAGTAGTTCATCAGCCACCCCCTACTGATGAAAGGACAAAAGAAATAGGAAATGATCTAGAGAAGTTTTACTGCTATTAGTAATTGGTAGTGTGGGTGTTAGTGATTAGTCAAATCATGTTGTACCTGTATGCTTTAAACATAATCACATTTGGAGTGCCCCAATTTGTCTGGGATACCTCATGCACATAAAGTATTTACTCTTTTATTTCTATGGTTTATCTTCCAGTCTCTCTCCTTGGTTGGAACGAGCCACTTAAAAATCATAACAGTATAAAGTCTGGATTTTGCAGAACATATAGAAAACTTCAGTTCTTAGAGAACTCAAAAACTTCAAGTGTTTGTTTCTAACTTAATTAAGTGAAATATTTCAAGCTTCTTCAGAGGTCATGGGAGTTTATACTTGTGTTGAATTACCATTACTGACATTCTTGCATTGGTAGTGTAGGTGATAATGAAGTATATAACAAAATCATCATTAATATTTTGGATTAACTTCAAAAGCAAACTTTTGGTCACCTGTCATAACTGATTATAAATTAGTAACTCTTATCCTGTATCCCTGCAGTGCATATTCTGTATCAAGCATAAGAAAGAGTGGCTGAAAATTTAAAGTGTCATTCTTTAGACATTTATTCAATGTATGGCTGTTTCAAAGTGGGAGTGGGCTGTTTCTAATATAGTATCAAGAATATGCCACCATATTTTATGCAGATTGCTTTATTTTATAAATTCTGCATTTATAGCACTGCCTTGAAAAAGTATTTTAATAACTTTGTACAACTTGATGTACCTGCACAGAGCTGCTTCTTGTTGTTGATTTCCAGATTCTAGTGACTGGTTTCTGCTGGATATCAAGTGGAATTCAGTGAAGCAAAATCTCATGCATCAGTGTTTCAAAATTACAGAACAGTTGCTGTCAGTCCTTGTGTATTACAGGGCCAGTAACACACAATCGTGACTTACTTCTGGTGCACTTGATGCTGGAGTCTGAAATTTATTTGTTAGTGGTTTTTGGTTCGTTGGTAAATAACGATGTGTAAGAAACATTCAGTGATATATTTTTGTATACTTTAAAATTGTTTAAGAGTAGTTGTAGTAGGAAGTCGTTTGTGAGAGTGGAAGCATGTATGCTGGAAAATAACTGTTCTTTTAATTTCCAAGACATAATTTCATGACAAATTCACTAACTCATTCTACTGCAGGCTTTAAAAACTCAAACTCTGTGCTTTTTACTTTGTATGTGAATTAAAGCATGTTGTGGAATTGGAGCGAAATAGCTAAGGAAACACACTGCATTCCATTGAAACAGTTCTTGTGACTTTTTATTGCAGACTAGGTAATACATTTTCACAGGTAGGTCTGGCTTTGCTTGAGCATTCTCTTGTGAGAATGAAGCAGTTATTAATTGCTAGAACTTCCCTCACTGGGACTGTGACTGTGGGTACCAAACTGCTTGGTCTGTGTTAAGATAGTTTTGGGAAAGATGGACATCTTGGAGCTGTTGATAGAAGTGTGTCAGGAGGAAAAATGCATTCATTTAAGCACAGATAGAAATAGTGTTTTTTTCATAGCTCTAGATTTTTCTCTTTACTGAGTGAACTGTTGCCAGATCAAACTCCTCTGCTCAATAGTCATCTGACCCTGCTCGTTCTAGAGCTTCATTATCCCTTCTCCAGCTCTGAGCATAAAGATTACTGTTCCTCAGTCTGGTCTCCAGTCCAATTAGGCTTTTATTATGTTTCTGATAATCACGAGGAAAGAAAGCATGTGAACATAAGATTGCCTGTAGGATGACTTTCACTGAAGGAAAGTGCATACTGTCTCATTCATATGGTACTTGGGATGGTTTTTGAAAGATCTAAATCCCCCTAGAATGGAGTATCTGTGAAGATATTCCAGAGGAAGCAAAGCTGTTCTGCTTTCAACATGAAGGGCAGTATTATTCTGAATAACTGAACTTTGTGGTATATTATTCATGGGTTATTAGAACTTCTACTTCATAAGATGTTGTTGTTAATTTTTATTACCTTCCTTGTCTTCCAGTAGATTTTGAAGAGAACTAAGTATTTTGTTCAGAAAGGTTTTCTTGCACTCATTTTAGAGACTGTGTCTCCAGCTGTCTTTGTGTTTGCTTTAGCAAATCTTCTGGGGCTAATGAGCAATTAGAAATCCATTAGGCCTGGAGAAATATCAGGACACATTAGATGCTACTCTTCACATCTAGCTGAGCAGCAATTCTGCTGAGTTGAGTGGGAAAACGGACACACCTGACTGCTTGTTTATACTGCTTTATTGGCTGTTAAATGTGAGGACTCCAGTCCTAGCTATAGATCCTTTCAGCAGAGTGTCCTTAAATCTGTGGTGCATATTATAGGCAGTGTACAGGGAATGCCTGTGAAACAGTGTGTGAATCACCCTAAAAGCAGGCTATCGGGCTTGCCTGCTGGAGGGTAGCCATGTTTCTGGAATCCTGCCTGCCTCCTTGAGACTCCGTTAGAAAAACCTTTGGTATGAAACAAAAGATCTTCCAAATATTTTGGAGTGAACGCTTATAAGAAATTTGTATTTTTTTTTTTAAATATTCATCTGGAATACTGTCTTCTCCCCAGAGACATGGAAAATAGAAAGTTATTCACAGTGCACATGCAGAATTTTCTGGGATAACTTGTATGACAGGTCTTGGACAAGATCCTGTACCATACACGTTTTTAAAAAAAAACTGTAGACTTCAGTCTGTGCAGCTGTTTCAATTTTCTTTTTTCCTCCCACAGTGCCCATTTGAAATATTTCATCAGAATAATCTGATAAATTACTAGTGTGTGTGGAAAAACACTATGAATAATAATGGACTCTAAGGAGAACCACTGAAACCCTTCTGGACCATGATGCTACTTCAATATGTCAATGTAAAAAAAAACCTGCTGGGAAACTTCTTTCCACTTATCCTTTTTCCTGTTAAAACTGGTACTCTTGGTCTTCTGAGAGCTGCAGTCCAGTCTGAGACCTCTGTGGTTTTTTGTAACTGTAGCTTCAGGATTTCTGAATTAAGATGGAATGGATTTTTTAAATTTTGGAGGAATGAAGAGGTAGGGTTGCGTTAACAGTAGATTTGATGTCATTCCTAATCTGAACGTGACTTGATTACAACATCCTTACAATGCTGATAAATATACTCAAATCCATGAGTTGCTCACTTTTGGCAACTTGGCTGTGGGGGTATTTTTTGGTTTTTTTATCCAGAAATAAAATGTAGTTCTATCAATGAATATAGAATAGAATCTAAATAATTCTGACTGATTTTTTGGTACAAGTAGGACATCAAGGATGTTCAAAGAATAATCAGACAGTAGACTGCCAAATTTCTTGTACTGGTTCTATGTAGGTAAGTGTAACAGTAGGGCTTTTTAAACCTTAAGTATGTTCTTCCCAGTTTGTGACAGATGGCAGAGCAAGAACATGATTTTGGATGATCCTGTACAGGCATGCTTAATTTTATAAAAAGCTTGACCAGTTGTGGCTTAATTCTGTAGAAAGCTTGACCAGTTGTGGCATACAGACTGGAGATTCTGTAGCAGCTCCAGGTGTTTCATACACAAGCAGATGCTTTCTTGGGTACTTCATGCCAAAACAGAGGTTGTAAATCCATAATGCTTTTTCACATAATGTGGAATTACATTGATTTTATGGAATGGGATAAAAATTTCTTTGATTTTCAGTGGGATACATCATTTCATATGAAAATGTATCACATTTGGGTAATCTGGATGACTGGGCATGTACATGCTTTGGGCAGTTTCAGTTCTGGCATATTCATGAAAATGGAAAGGACTTGCGGTAGGAATCATTCCCTAGAGGGATGTTCTCACTTTTGTATTATTATCTATTCAGGCTTCTCTAGGCAAACTCGCTAAGGTTCAAAGGATTACATTTCACCTGAGCTACCATTGTATGCAGCTTCACACAGATTGTACCTTCCCAGTTTTTTGCAAGTCTGGGGGGGCTGCCTGTGTGAGATGACAGGGATTTTCCTCCAGCTGGGCTCCTCTTTCAGTGGATGTGTCTCAGATCTCAACCTCTGCGGAGCGACTGGGTTATGTCATTCAACCTGATCTGTGTAAACCCAAAGAACTAACGCTCAGGTCCTGGAGGCTAAAATGGGACCTAAACTAGCCTGTTCTAATACAAACGGATGACAGGCTGAGATTGAAAAATATTTCAAAGACTGAATTCTTGACACGCAGAGCCTTGCTGGCAGCTTTAGGTATTAATGTATTTTCTACTACAAATTATCCATTGTCTCTCTATGGGCATCAGATAATCTGATGTAGATCAGAAGCTTAGTCACTGACATGCTTGTCACCTTGATAAATACGCTTAGAAGCATCTAAGCAAAACATATGATGAAATCTGACATTTGTTCATATTGGTTAAATAGCAAACAGGTGTCATAATTCTGTTAGGCTGACAAAGTTCAACTATCATACTCAACAGGCCACAAGCCTGACAATCCCTGAAATTAAGAGTTTCTAGGCACCACATTTCTACATTTGGTCACTTACCCACTGTCATTTTGTTTCCAAAATCTGAATAAAATATACCACTCAGTTTTCAAAATGGTTAGTGGAAACAACATGTGTATAAAATTGTCTCTTAATTTTGTGATGAATTACAAATCAAAGTTGTGTTTCCTCCCTGGTGTCTTGTCCCACTGTATTGCAGAAGCTGTCTTTTCGGCTGGGTGCAGCATTTGGAACATAAGTCAATGGATCAGGTCGGATCAAGTATCTACAAAAAGAAATTATAACTGTTATTAAAACAATGTGGTGCAAGCAAGGATAAGTGCATAGAGTTGTAATGTTGTGAAAAGATCTGAGGAAGACTTAGAGACTTACTTTGAAGGTGCTTAATCTAATTCCTGTTGGGTAACTTGGACACTCAGTAGCATCACTCACTTTAGGAGCTAATAACAAAGCTTTTTCACATTTTGGCTACCCAGACATTATGTGTATGTACCAGGCACAGTGAAAACTTACTTGAACTGAGAGCTGCTTTGCTAAGAATGTATTAATGTGTTAATGCACACTGTATGTGTTAATGCATTGCCTTTATTCATTATACCTTAAAGAATAAACAAGCAGTCCACAGAGTTGTTTCTAAAAGAAAACAATGGATAGTTCTTGTCATTGTGCTCCATTATTAAAAGTCAGATGTTGGTAATCGTGGTGTAGGCTGACATTCTGGAGCTGGATTCTTTCTCTAACAGCTTTTCCTCCTTGTGAGCAAGCAATGAGGTGGGTCAGCAGTGACGTGGAGGCCCCTGCACAGCTGGGCTCTCTGGTCTCTTGCCCGTGGAGCAGAGGGGCATGTTAGTAGAGCAAACCAAAGACAGAAATGGCTCAGGACGTTAACACAGCTGTCACATATTCTTCAATAAGAAACAATGCTTAGATAACTAAAATTCTTGGCTTTCAAAACTTTTTTGACAGTTCAAATTTGTGTTCATTTTTTTCTCATGTAGCCTGGAAAAATTCCTGGTAAGCAGGGGAAAACATTTCCTGTGTTAAGGTCATGCCATTAAGCATGAATATCACATGATATTCAGGGGAAGACTTCTATTCGCTTTAATAATCTTCGGATCTATGTAATCAAATCCCACTTGAAAATACTGATTTTAAGGGGTTGATCTTTCTATTAAGACTGGGTAGCTAAATTACAGGCAAAACTTTAAGGAGAATAAATATTAATTTTTAATAAGTACATATATAGTATAATTAGATGGCTATTTAAATAGAAGTTTCCTTTTTTTTTTTGCAGATGTATGGGAACATTTGGAGTTCTTTTCCAGCAGAAAGATAATAAAAGGAATTCAGGCAGAAAGTGCAAACCAGAAATTTTGCAGGTCTTGTGACTTTATTTTTTTATGTGGATGCTTTAACTTACACTATATCATTCAGCTCTAATCTTGTATCTGGAGAAGGATTGATCAGGATGTAAGAAAGGGTGTTCTGATGATCATTCATTTCATCTAGAGAACAGAAAAAAATGTACCAAATGAATTATATTTACAAATGAATTGTGAAAAGTAGTATTTTTGACAAACTAATTTGATAAAAAAATCTTCTTTGGTTCAGAAAGCTGTCAAAAAGTGTCTGATTGTCAGAATGATTTCAAATAAGTTTAGCAACTTCTTTTCAACTGTACTTGAATTGGAACTGACATGTTATCTTTTGAGTTACTAGCTCAAAAAATATCCTGTTTTCTTTCTGAATGTTTTAAAAATCTTCTTTTGCTTTTTTCAGTCACAACAGTTCTGAATGTAACCCAACTTTAAGGTGATTTACCAGCCTGCCCTGCAGCATAGGTAAGTATGTGGGAAGTAGGGACTTCCATCCTCGGCTGGCATTGAGTTCAAGTGATCAAGGTTAAGTGCAGGTGTATGGCACTCTCATCCATTTCCAGATTTGGTCAACATAAACCTCTTTTCTCTTTTTCCATATATCTAGCAAGCATTTCTCTTTTACCACCTGTGCCAACGGCTTGAAATGTGAAGGCTGTATAAATGGAAGTTGGTATGCCTTCCTTGCATTTTTCATTATTCTTCTACTGATGTGTTGAAAATGAAGGCTGACATTTTTTTTTTAGGTTTTTGCTGTTCTTTAGAGGGTACATAATCATCCTAAATCTGACTAATGAAACGAATGTTTACTTTCAGCTTTTAACTAGGATTTGACAGCAAAAGCAGTAGTACAACAAAGTTTTCTTGTTACTACCGTAAATATGAATCAAATTTACAAAACTTCTCTATGCTTGATCAAATGTTATTGTGGCCTGTGAAACTCCTGGAAAATATTGAGTCCTGAATCTTTCTGCAGAGAGTTGTATAGAATACACAAAGAAAGAAGGAATAGTAATTATCCATTTGGACTGTGGAAAAAAAGATACTGTATTTACATATTTGATATGTAGATATTAAGCAAAACTACAGCTATATATTCTGTAGCAGCCTTCTCTTGCAGTTAAGTTGATTTTGTGTTGGTAGTAACAATAACGACTACTGTTGGGTTGTACATTGCTATTGATATCAAAATTGGTTTTTGCCATTGGTTATTGATGTTTTGAACATGCATTAAAAATGTTTATTGTTAAACAGACAAATAAAACTATCCATTCTGCAGGAAATACCCCATTTACCTACAGCAGATGGATATTTTATGGATAAGTCAAATTTAAAAATAATTATGTTGAAAAAATGAAGAGTAATACTTTTGTAAAAGAGAACATTTTGGATTCTTTAAGTGAAAATGGAGCATGGGAACCCCAGTGTTGCTGCTTCAGAAGTAGAAAGCACCAAGTTGCACAATGGACTTACTCTGCAGACTAATAAGTTGGGATCTAGAAATACTTGGGTGTTTCTAGGAAACTAGAACCCATAGTTCTGGGGTCAAGGCCATAGAAAGGCAACCCAGGCAGCTGTGGTGCATGTATTAATAAGTGTTGCACAGCTCTTGTCAATAGCTTAAAAAAAGCAAACCTACAAAATAAAATGGAACAAACTAAAAAGCAACCCAACATCAGCCTTGCTGGAGAAGGACTTGATGGATAAAAATGTTAAAGACCTAATGAAACATGCTTCATAAAAAATTACTGTAATGTGACAATTTGGCGCTATTTTTAAGAATTGTGGAGAAAATGCAATATCCTTCACATATGAAAACTCCCCACCTTGACATGTGAGTGAACTTTTACAACAGTTCTGCCTTCATCTGTATTTGAACACGTTTGTGGAAATAAGGTGAAGCTGTTCAATGACAGGGTAATGTACATTCAGCATATACATGTCATATGCTGAACATAAATGTGACTGACATGCTGCCTTCTGAGCCTTCCATATGAACACGGGAATGAGTGATAATAGAATGGACTAAAAACATTCTGTTACTCTTGGTAAACGAAAAAAAAAAGACCCTAAACCAACAGAACAAAAACATTATCATAAAGTTAATATTTTGCTTATGGCACCCTCAGTTCTTAAAAATGAGCTCAGCTTGCATAACGCTAATGTTATTGAAGTATTTATTATAATAGCGATACCGTATCCTGCTGGAGAAAGGCCCAGATGCTTCATCCTGTTTTTCACGAGCTCAGCAAGCTCCTGTCTTTCTGACCTCCTGTAAAGGTTCATTCTCTGCTGGTTGATCTTCTCTGCTGTTTTCCCCGAGTGCCTGGGTGCTCTCCTGCTCAGCCGCCGCGCCCACTGCATGCTCTTCCGTCGCAGCAGGGGATGGTCAGACTGGTCACTGGAGGTTGAGTTCCGATGGTTACCGCGATAACTAAACTGTTCTTTGGTGTCTTTAGTGTCTTCCCATTCTTCCACGCTGATAGAGATTTGAGACTTGAAAGGAAAATGACAAAAGAGATTAAGGGCATTACAAAATGGAAGCAGATTAAGATGTTCTCTCCTCTTTTCAGCAGTGCAGTTGAACGTGTGTTTTGGTTGCAGTAGAGCTGAGGGGATTCAGCTGTTTGTACTTAGCAAGTGTTCCTGAATGGGCATTCTTTAATTAGCCTTTGACTTTTTATGTAAAAAGCTCATTTATGATACAAATATGTTTGTCAAAGTTATGTTATTTAATGCTTGATTCCACTTTGATTCTGAGAAGAGCAACTCTAGCCTGACACTGCCCTTCCTGAATCTAGGAATCTTTTCTGAATGACTTCTCCACTTCCTTCCCAGTCTGCATATTTGCGGCCAGAAATTCAATTCCGTAACTGCTTTTTAGATGTATGTGGTGGATTCATTAAGTAATAGTTCAACTTTGCTGCACTGTTTTCAGCACTCTTTTAAGACCACAGGTAGAATATGCCTGTTAACTGTATCTCAAATTCCCAGGCACATATGAAAGTATGAAGTACAAAACAAAGATTATGTAAATGAGCTGGCTGAATTTATATGAATCCCCTAGAAGAGAAAGAATTCACAATATGCTAAAAGTTATCACTGAATAAAGAAAATTTAAACCAAGAGCTATTTAATGGCCTTTTCCCATTAATATGAAATCTGAAAGCAAGAATCTGCTGACCTCATCAGTGTTTAATACAAGCTTTCTTTAAGAGGCTCACCAGACATTCCCACATAGAATCTGTAAGGTTCCTGGAGTCCATAAAACAGTATTTGATATGAGTCAGTTGTATAGAGTGTGAAAGATACTTAAATATTTCACTTTTGCACAAACTAGCTTTTATCTGTGTAAAAAAAAAAAAAAGGCAACAAACAAACACAAACAGACAGCAAAACAATCAAAACACTACAAATGTTTGTGTTGTAGCACTTCAATAAAATCACATTTTTAATAATCTAAACTAGGATGTTGCAATAAACCTCATGCAAAGACCATCTAATTTATTGAGGCTCTTCAGCTTAGTCTGCAATAGAAAAGGGATTATTTGTTGTTTTTTTTCTTAAGACTACATGGTCTTTGAAGTTTTGTTACTGACTCAGCTGATGTTTTGGGAAGGGCATAGAAGAGAATCCTAGACCCCTTTGTACAGGAATGCTGTTTGATTTTGTTGTTGTTTGTTAAATTGTCATTTTGGTTTTGTGCATATTTTACAGTAAGGATTAAGGTAGGCAGACTATATTCCATATGATAAGGTGCTACTTATGGATAGGATGGAGCTATTTGGTGTGAACAAATCAGATACAAACTGAGTATAAAGGGTGGTCTTGTTTTGCCTTTCTTCCTGCCTGCATTGGTAGCTTTCCTTGTCCAGCTTCTGATAAAACAGTCTGTAGTACTGAACAGACTGTAGTACTGAAAAGACAGAGACCAATCATCATCATAACAGTTAAGTATTTACTTAGATGACCATTAAGTTTTTATGTTGCCTGTTGATAAAGCTGTGCAGAATGGCCCTTTGCTCTATGCAAGCAGAAAAAGTTCAACTGTTTAACAACAAAGCAAAACCAAAGAACCCCAGACTCTCTTTCAAAAGCAGCACGGAAGTGTGTCTCCCAGTGTCAGCTGTTAAATACACAGAAGATAAAAGCGCAGCACAGAGTACTTCTTTGTGTCCCCCTCTGTTTTAATCAGCCTCAAATTTCATTTAAAATACTTTCTGAAAGCTCCAGTCTATCATCTTTGAGATTTTCAGTAAGACGTTTGTGTCTAGAACAATGCTGCTTTAAAATCTGTTTACCCAGGGATGATCCCCTGCACAGTTCCATTTTCTGTAAGGACTTTATTCCCCCAATTTAACTTTGCGCACTGTTTCTGGCTGTGATTGAGTTAAATTTCTTCACAGTAGCCTGTATGGGATGGCGTTTTGGATTTGTGACGGAAACAGTGTTTAACTTATTGAACTGCCCACGAGTTTTCTCACTTTTACCCTTTCAGTTTTCTCCCCCGTTGCACCTTGGGGAGAGCGAGCAAGCGAGTGGCTGTGGGGGGCTTACTGCCTCCCGGGCTTAAACCATGACACCCAGCAACAGGCAGACAATGAGTTAATACTTACTTGTGAAGCCATTTCTCGGGACTGACAAATGAAGGGGAAAAAGAAAACAAAAGACAATTTAAACAGAAGTGAATGTAAAGAAACAGACATGGACCATTTAACAGGAACCACAGAAAATCACCTACAGAGGTAGTAAAAAAAAGATTTCATCTCTCTTTTTTATTTTTATTTTTTTTTAATGAAATGGAAATGGTTTGAATCATAGGTGTGACGGTCATTGAGAGGCAGGCTAGATTCACTTGTTATTTAGTTACCAAATCACTGAAACCTCGCTTTATTTTGAAAGGAATTATCTGTCAGTGAGGTGAGGGCTTCTCTTTTGCATAATAAAAAAAGGGGGTGCCAAAGGATAAATTGTAGATATAAAAATATTAATATTGGCATATATTGTTCCTGTGACTTGAGTTAACCATTAACTGACAGTTACTGTGTTATTGTGCAGTAAAAATTAAGTTCCAAAAGTCTGTTTAAACTCAAATTGATATTCATGTTGGAGGTTCTCTGAGTAACAAACCTTCAAATTTATGGTTAAAATCCATATTCCTGAGTAACAGAGCAATTTACTTTTCTCTAACTTCCATTTTAAAGATCTCATCCAATGGCTTAATGTATTGATAAGCTAAAATGGTAGCCCACGCTAATATTATTTGATTAGTGAAATCAGTCAAAAACTCCTTCAGCTTAAAAATATCAACAGCTGCTTTTTTTGTCACATAATAAACAAGCAGTGCCACTCTTCCACATTTGTCCAGTACTTGACAATTAGAAAATTTAACCAGGAGATTTCTCCAACCTCCTTCTGCTTCATCTATCTGATCTAACTCAAATTCTTCATGGGATTACCTGTGAAAGGTGGTAGGAACTAATATAGAACTCAACTCTTATCTACCAGACAGAGGCTTCCAGGCTGATTTGAGTGTCTGAATGTTTTAACAAACTGCTTCTTTGCAAAAGAAAATCACTACCTCCAGCTAAATCTGGGTCTGGTCTAATCAAGTATCGAGGCTCTTGAGCAGCTGCATGTGTACAGGCTCCAGTGGTTCCCAATGAAAATACTGAAAATATTTGAAAGATCTTTAATTTATCAGTTAAGCTTGTCTCAGAAGATGAATTTGAGTGTACATGCTTGCCGCCTGAACATCCTGCCAAAAAAATATGAAAGTTCACGTAGAAAAGATGAGGGTTACTCTTGTAGTTACCCCTTCCCTGTGCAAATCCTGTTTGCCAGTCAGCCTGTGTTTGAAATCTTATGAAAATGCAGAAAGATAAAAACTAAGGGCACCAAAAATGCACTCTTCACAATATGTTGTATTCTCACAGTTCAACTTTTCTTCATTCTCTTTTTTGTACCTGAAGTTAAATAGCCAGCCCTATTCTCTCAGAACATGAGGATAAAGCATTGCCATGAATTTTATCTTATCCTTATTTTATGAATTCTTAAAATCTGATATCTCCTGTGTTTTCCTGAAAGCTATGACAGACTTTTTTTTATGTTAGCAGTGAGACTGACTACATTCTTCTCCAAGGAATGATTTTGATGGATTATGTTAATGCTGCTATATTTAAAAAATCATTTGATATTATTGCAGTGACACAGTCCACTGCCTAAGTAGTAAAAGCCACCTGCAGAGACAGTGGGTGGTCCCCAAAGAGAGACACTGGGGAACTGGGTGGAATCTTGCATAGATTTTTTTTTCTCTCTTTTTTAAAAATTAACTTCATCTGAATGTTTGTACTTACTTCAGGATAAGTCTTGCAGCTAAGCATTATATGCCTTAGTGTTTTCTAATATTTTTCCAAAATATGGAAAAAAAATACAAACTGCCTGCCTCAGAAATCAGTGTAAACTATGTCTGAGTATTTCAGAAGAAAGGAGGAAGTTGTTGCTCAGTGTTGCATTTTAGAGCTGCTTTGGAGCCATGGTTTAATGAGATGTACCAATGGTCACATAAACAAATGGCTAATACATGACAGAAATAAGAGCTGCCCAAACAAACAAAAAAGTATGTTAAATAGTCGGGGAAAAGTTCTTTTGTCATTCTTTATATGTTTATTCAGTAAACACATGAATACATATTTCAAAAATTGCCGCTGTTTGGCAGCTATATTTAGAGATATCCCACAATACTTTTAATAACACTAACTAGAAATGAGCAACAAGAGACTAAATTAGAAAGTTGTGTGAATAGTGAAATGCCACCTGTTTTGATACAATGTTGATATTCTTGACAGACCTGATAGAGGACCTGGTTATAGAGCTTGTTACACACACTGCCATTAGTCACCACCTGCAAGTTCAAACCAGAGCCTGTCCCAGCTGTACCTGAGTTAGTGTGACCATGTATGTGTCAGCAGAGGGAGGCCTTGTATACTTTGTAATCAAATCCAAAGGAAAGCACAGTAAACTGACGTACCTCGGATGTTGCAAGCTTTTGGGATTCTGTCCTATAGACTCCTATTGGAATGTCTCCTGTAGAAGAACAAAGTTTCTGATACAGTCTGGCATATGTCCTAATCCATAGATCCTCTTCTGTGATTTTCATCTGAACAAATAATAATAGGAGGGAGAACTTTTAACTCTTGAGGGCTTATCACTTGTTCACCATGCTACGCATGAAAAAAAAAATTAAAACTAAACACTAACTGGTAATTATCATATTGTAGTATTGCACCTTTGCTCCACAACAAATCTGGAACTTCCACTGAGTTTGTAATACTGTTTCTTTTGCTTTCTCCCTGTTTAGAGGACATTGCAGTGCAAGCAGTTCAGTCTTACGAACTTCTGGTCTTGTTTTCAAGTTACTTAAAAACTTACATGGCATCCTTCATCCAATGTTCATATTTGTGTAAAATATAAAAGAATGAACTAAATACTGGCAGCAGTAAGAAGCTGGTGATGGACAGACTCCAGAGTGCATGAGGATTTTGAATGCAGCCAAATTCACTGTTCACTAGACTGCAGGCTGAATATCTGGGGAGAAGAGAGCGGGGAGGAAGTAATACACTAAGCATAAATGGCATAAGGAAGTCTTAAATGAAGCTCAATTATTTCATTACTATGACACCAGCCTTATTTCAAGATGAAAATGAGCTCCTTTTTAGAGATTCAGTTCTCTTACATTCACTGTAACAAAGCTTAATGATTGACCAAGAAATACATAATTGGTTTCTATTGAAGCAGCTTTTGTAAGCCATCATTGATAACTTCCTTTTAGAGTACAACATCCTGCAATTCTTTTTAGGTCCCTAGAAAGCAACTTGAATTGATCTGTTTACCAGCTAGGGAATGATGGGTGTGGGAGAAAACAGAAGGGTGGGGTTTATTTCAATAATAATGTTAGTGATTTTATTTTTCATGTGTGTATATACACATAAAAATTGCACTGGGGAATACTGACGTACATAGCCAGGCTGTGCAATATAGATAGTGCTTCCTGGGGTTTATATACTTAATTTTTAAGTTGTTTGCTAAACTGCCATTGCCACGTCATACAAAATGCACTTTTCCTGTGTTTTCCTGACTTTCCTATTTTCCTCTTTGCTTTATAAACTATATTGTATTTTCTTGGGAGGTGTTTTTTGCTATGGAACTAAAAATGTGTGTTTTCTGTCAAATTTTCCTGTCTTCTCCCCTGGTGAAAAAGGAAACAGATGGCCTTTCTTGGACTTACACAAAAGGAAATGCCATACAAAGACATTGCAGACAGCAGAGAGTCTTCTCTGGTACTCTGTACTAATTTTTTATTTTTTTAATAACTTACAGAACAAAGAAACCCAGATCCTGGTGTGGTATCAAGTCCCAGCAGAAGTCTTGTAATAGAAATCATATAATCTTTCACAAATGACTGCCAGATTTTTTAACAGGAGAGACGGAAAAGAAAGAAAAAAGCTTTAATGAACAGATGAGCAGGTAACCATTAGCACCATGTATGAATTTCAAAGAAATTGTACATCTGTTTTTACAATCCATCTCTTTAAGTATCTTATCACTGTGGAAATAGCTATTCCTTTTTTTTTGCTGAATTTACTTACATAAAATTAAGTTTTCTAGTTTGGCGCTGCATGTGCATGCAATGTACATTCAGGATTCAGAAGACTGAGGCATAATAAGGCACCATAAAAGCAAAGATGAGTGTAGACATAAGATCAATGGAAGTAAAGTGTTAGCCTTACCAGGTGTGAAATTATAATGAACTCTTCTGTGCAAAAGAAATGCTGTCATATGCTAAATGGGTCTGAGAAGTGGGTAATACTGAGATGAAACTGCTATTAGTTTAATTCAAATGAGTAATTTTATGGTTTTTAAGGGTTCATCTGTCTTGTCTCAGTCCAGGCTTGTTGCTGTGCTAACAGAAGTGTGTTGCTATAGGTTAAAAGGCAGAAATTAGGCTCAACGTAGAAGTGTAGGCTAAGGCTAGGAATTAGCTGACATTAGATCAGCTAAAAATCACAAATATTTTTCCTCATGAGTTGAGATGCTGGAATCAGAGGGCCATGTGGGTGCTCTTCTAGCTGTGGTCAAACTGTTCATTGCCACCTCTTGGGGTGTAGCAGGGCAGGATTCAAGGCTGGCTGTCAGTCCTTGTTGGAACACAACGTACAGTTAACTGTTTTGGCTTCATGCAAACAGAGAGCTAGCAAATAGGTTTTCATAAAGAAATACCTTACAAAGGTATTCTATAAATCCTTTATAGAATCTGAATTTGTTTAAACTCAGAAGCTAGACAGATTTAATTTGATACATAGTGATTCAACTATTTTAATTTTTACACTGGTAATCTTCCAGTGTGATGGGCTAAATGCTAATGAGCATCTTGAAGAAATTTTTTTTGTAACTTTCACTTATGTTTTATCTTGGCTGCATCATTTATGCTGTGAAATTTTTGTTAGATTACTAAGTGTATTCACCAGGATTTGCCAGACCAAGTTTTCATTTTTCAGTCAGTGCCCTAAAAGTAATTCAAAGGCTTTTCTTTTGACCTGTAACAGGAAGCCCCAGATGAATCCTGCTGTTCTTCATGTCATTTACTCTGTTCTTTGTATGCAGAAGATAAAAAATGCTGTACAGAAAAGGATGGAACCATGAAAAAGAACAGAGTTGCTTTCATAGCATTTCTAACTTGGAATAAGGAAGATAATTCTAGAAAAATGACAGTTCACCCATGAGCAGTAGGAGCTCAAAGAAAGGACGTGGAATTTAAGCGAGAATAAGTGTATGGGATCTTTTGTTTTAAACACTTTGTATGAATGGTGTTACTCTGTCAAGTCATAGCATGACTGTTCACATCTAGGAGGAAATATAAAATACTGAAGTGATTTGCTGGCAGGAGTTGTTGATAATGACAGATTTGTTTATAAGTGTCTTCATATTCTTTTTTTTTTTTATTTTTGCAGTATGTGATGTTGATATTCTGGGTCATGATTATGAAGATGTTTTATATGCAAATACACCTGTTTCTAGAGCATCTAGAATGTATATGTCCATATGCATGACTGGTTTCCATATTAATGACTTCTTGACAGAAGTTTAGCTACAGTAATTCTATTTATGTTGAAGTTGCCTACAGGAAATTTATTGGAAGTAGAATTGCAATGAAATAATATCTTTCATGCACAAAATTACTAAGTTCCCTGCAACAGTGTTTCACACCTGAATACAAAAGCTGTCAACAGGCTGTCTCTAGGAACAAAGTAGGTAGCTGCTTTAGGTGAGCAGATTACATGGGCCATGGTGGTGTTGCTGCTTATTGTGTCTACCTTGATCCTTGAAGGCAAGTGCTGGGGGCTGCTGTTTGGTCATCCTGATGTATCAGGGTGTGCAGCAACATGGTCACTGCTGAAAAGCAAGCAATATTGTCCTATTTTTCCACCCTGAAACTAGAAACTGCTACCTTCATTTGACCTGACTCTCTACTTTCTGATATTTTCTCTTCAACTGTCCAAGGTTGTTGCCCTTCCCTTATTCCCACTGACTGGCATCACTACCTTCTGCATGAGGAGCTCCATCCTGGATTCTGGGCAACAAGGTTGAGTGCTGCCTTTTCTTCCCCTATTCAGTAACCACTGAATATATTCCATGTTAGGGTGTGAATACCTTACTTTAAAATAATTGGTCCTCTGGAGGTCTAGTCAACACAAGTAAGAGGACGGGCCACAATGGCGTAATTGAGGCCTTTATGAGCAAATGCAGATGACTGATAAATTATATATTAATGTAATTCTGTTGGGTTTTTTTGATTTGTTTTGTTAGAGACACTGCTTTGTGGTAATGGGCACTTTTTGTTGCAGAGTACAAGTGTTAGTCTGTATAATCTGTAATTTATGTAGGCCTTATCAAAACTGTTTGACTGTGGAGAGGTTCATAAACAGTATTTTAGTATTTAACAACAGATTTTGTGCAAGGTCAGGGTGATTTTGGCACTGATAACTGAACTAATACCATCGTGTAGAACATGCTCAATTATCTTTTGCCTTTGGTTGTTTCTGGTATAGACACACACTTTAATGGATCATATGTAGGAAAATAGGGTTATTTAACAATTAAGTACAATAGAATAGGTGGTAATATTTGTTTTAAGTCACATTATTGTTCACAGTACCTGATAAAGCAATGTATCCAACATACTGATGCTGAAAACCCTGCCAGCAGCAAAGGGCAGTCGAAACATAAATGCAAGATTAGATCCCTTCTCCCGCTCTTTCTGTTAAGGAATTAAAAAATAGAAAACACTTTTAATGATGGGTTTGGAAGGATTATAATAAAAATATGAAATTCATATTACCTTGAAAGAGATCAATAGTGTAAAATCCCTTTAATCTCTATATAGTTGCTTTCTACAAGTATGTAGCATCTTTGTCCAGTTTGTACAGTTTTTCAGGTTGAAAGATTTTGATTATTGTATATATTGTTTCAATTGTATATATTGTTTCAGTCATCACATTTCAAATCGCATGGGCATATTCTACCAGATCAATTTAAAAAGGATAGAAGGATAGAATACTGTGGATGTAGAAGCCAGGAATGTGCCAGAATGTGCCAGCAGTTTTATTCCACAATAAGTGTGATGCCCAGCATCTCCTTTAATGGCACTTTTTGGATTTAATGAGGAAGGGGATATAACTACTTAAAGACAATCATAGATTATTTCTAGGAACATAAATAAAAGATCATGGCATGAGTGTGTTCCACAGAACTTCATATATATATGGCATTTTAAGGCACAGCTATTAGTAGATGGAGATGTTTACTTAGTCCTCAATCTTCCTATGTTTGTGACTTTGCTCAAGTGATGAAGTATAGAATTTTTACTGCTTTCTTTCTAAGTAATTACAGGTGTACTCTTGTGCTTTTAAGAACTTGTTAGCATGTGCTTCCTCTATTTAATTTAAAGTTAATTAATTATTTCCTTTGGGGTTTGCATGTTGTCAGAATAACAGAGAATATCTACACAGAAGGTCAAGTTCATACGCTTTTCAGTTTTTTTCCCCTCTTTTCTACCTCCATTTATATTTGTGCCAAATCTTTTTTATGGTTCCTTATCATGCTTTTATATTTTTACTATTCTACATAAATACCTATTTCTTTATAAAAGTAAATTCTGTCATACCAATAACAAATCACCAGCCCCAAACTAATTTGAAACCCTGTCTCAGCCACTCTGTCAGTGGATGAAAGAGATGTAGGGCCCATCTCTGATACAGGCAGTAATATGGGAGAGGCCATGAGAGGCTGTAACTGTTGTGTAACAACAATGCAAAGCTGCTCCAGTGAACATACAAGAAGTGGGGGGCAGTGTTGGTCATGCAAGAACATACAGAGGTGACAGAGGTAGTGGCTTGTTACAGGGAACAGTCAGTGCACTTGGTTTTGGTTCTATCCTAACCTTTTGTCAAGAACAGATTCACTTCCTGTTGTTGATCTGGAGCAATTTCCTAAAACCCTGTCAGTTCAACAGCCAAATGTGTATGCTAATGGTTTGTAAAGTTATAGAATTGTAGCTGATGTAAATCATTAGAGATCCATGTAAAATAAGACACCAATTAAGAGGTACCAATCTGTTTTTATAAACCACGTCATTATTACTTGCTGTTACTTCACATTAATTCAAATATGCTTAATACCTGAACAATATTAAAAACAAAAAATGGAGAGGGCATGCCCTATCCTTAACTGAAGGTTAAAAAAGCAGCCTGGCTTTGTGTATATCACTGCAAATATACTGGGCCATCCCAGATAGATTTCTGCTCACCTAACATCTATATGCTTAGCCCCATGGAAGATACAAAATTACAGTATTGGTTTGATTAGAAGATATAGGAGCTTGTACTTATTTCAAAATGATGACTTGAAGGTTTAGAATTTTTATCCTTCAGTTAACACCCACAATATTTACTAGGAAAAAAAAAACATAGAAAACTAAAGTGGGAATCTTATCCCAAACATTATAAATCCTTTCTTTCAAGGAAGAGGGAGTGGTTACCTCACTTATATATTATAATTTTTAGACCATAAGTGTTTTGGTTTTCCTTTTCTCTGTTGTAAAAGGGCTGCTGCTTTCTCCTATGTCAGTGCTGAGTTTACTGTCAGATTTATTTATCTTGAAAATGAGAAAAGTTGCAGCTGCAACGGCAGATGGACAACTGATTTGTGTATCTTTCTTCTGCAGCCCACTGGGTTGAAAAGCCAATTTTGCAAATGTGTTTCAGTGCTACCTCAAGGCAACTTTCCTGACGTTTTCAGTCTTTCTGAAAATGAGGCGCTTAATGCAAAAATAACAAGCAACTATACGTTTCACTGCATTAGATAATTTTTACTGGAGTTTTTAATTGCCTTTCATTTTGCATGAGGGAGTTCTGAAACATCAAATGAACTACAACACCACCTGCGAAGTTCTTCCTGCAAATGTTAAGATGAAATGACAGGGAAATATCAACAGCAGGCAACTGCAACAGCAATGAAGAAAATGTTCTTTCTTTAAGGTAATTTATCTACCTCTATTTCAGCAGAACATAATTTGGACAGGAAGTTCATTAACTGTTCAGCTTCCAGCCTATATTCACAACTTTACATTTGCACAATAAATTAATAAATATAGGGAAGAATTTAAAATATTTTTAATAATTTCCAGAACTTCTGCTGGAAAAAACAGAGGAGCCTATGTAAAGCAAACAAGAATTGAGATAAATATCCTGTTTTCACTGCACTGAAGTAGACAGGCTACAGTCCACAGAGTATTCCAGAAGCAACTGAAATTAATTAAGAGAATATGTTAAAAAATAATTTAAAAAACCCTGTAGGTCATAGCACACCAAGGAACTGAGTTAGGTTGGAACAGTCTTGAGGGCACCATCCAGGTGCAGGCACTTGTTGCCCTGAATAAATTGGCAACGCGTGATTCCAGCCAGTTTCAGCTTATCCTTCCTGAATTTACCATTGAGGGAGGGAGTGCTAAAATCGAGGAGCCACAGGTGCAAACCTTAATGTATAGTGGGAGTGGCATAATCCAAATAAAGCTGTGCCTCCTGCTGCAAACAGCTCCTCTCTTTGCTTAACAACTTTTGTCTGGTTCCTTCACAGTTCTCCACGTTATGCGCTTGTCAGAATACCACCTAAATAAGATTGAGCCTTCATGCTATTACAGGTAAAGGTCAACAAATCACAGAAGATCACCCAGATATTTACATCTTGTGGCCGATATGTAAGCATGACAGTCAACTGAGTAACTTATCCCATCTCACCTACACAGGCTGAATTTTTGCAGAATTTGATTCCTCTGTAAGAAACTGGACTGTGAAGGTAAGTTTCTAGAAGAGGCTCGTTTCCATTAAGTAAAAATTAACTCCATGAATATTATACAATAAATAGTTAACTATATGAAATCTCCAAAATGTAGGAAATTTATTGTACGGCTAGAAAATGGAAATTATATGTTCATTCTGTATGATGGTAATGATTTTAGCATGAATTCAAATTTGCCAAGATATGTAAGATATTTGAGGTGCAGAGATTTGGAGGCTACACAAGAGAACCTAGCAGTAAGATAGATAGATAGATAGCAAGGGGAAAAAGAGATGACTGGAGTGAAAGATTTCTGTCTTTGAAGACGGTCACAGTGATATTATTTGTCTTACTCTCATAAACTCAGAAATTGGCCAGCAATAGTGTTTTGAACAAGCATATTAAATTTATCTTCCCGTAGCCTTCCTGTTCCACAGCTCACAAATGCCAATGTATGCATGTCAGTGCATAGAATATGAATGTTTTATATAGCAGTTAAGTGGTGTCACTATCCTTACTGGCACTAGGACTGTCCTTTGACAGAGAACAATTGCTGTTCTCAAACTGTCACAGCAGCACCAAATATCTCATACAGATACAGGGTAATGCATATAGAAGATAAAATTTTAGTGCCTTTAAAGTGATGTGGAATAAAAAATTATAATAAAAGCTGTATGTTTTAAGTGTTTAGTTAATTAAAAGATGTTTCATGTTAATTGCCTGTATCAGCCTCTTGGAAAACCATATTAGCTCTGAATATTCAATTATCCAAAAATACTCACTTTTCCTTGAGATTGGTTGGTTGATTAATATCATATTGTAAAGTAATGGAAATCAAATCACACTGCATTCTTAAATAAGGGTAGAGTTTTGAAAAAAATATCTTTTACAGTAGCTTTCTACAACCATAAAACTATTTCACTGTTTCCACTTGTTTTGAAATGATTGTTACAAAATCAGAAAAAGGAGTAAAATTATAACATTTAAATTGGGGGTAGGAGTGAAGGCAAATCTCCTTACCTTTTCTAATTTGGATAGAGCAAGAGAATAGCAGTCTTTGGCTCTGAACTGCATGAATCTCATGTTGGCTGGGTGAGTTAATTCTGTGATAATGCTCAGGCTTGAGAACAACCTGTATTTTAAAAGAATGTAACAGTTATACCTCTAATTATAACAATTAACATAATGCTACAGTCTGTGCTCACGTCCATGTTTTTAATGAAGTCCCTGAAACCTCTGGTGGGTTGTGGCACAGTGAGATGCTGGTACAATAGCAGAGGAGACTACAAAACATTATCTGTAGAATTCACAAAGAAACACATATACATTCAAACAGTAAACTGCTAGAAAGAAACCACTTAATTTCATTGCCAGAGGTTTTATTAAATGATTTCTAAAATGACACAAATCTCTATGAAACAACAGGAAATGCAAGGTTATACAGCCTTCACTTAGTGCCTGGTTTATGTACTCTTTCCATTTGATTTCTTTGCTTGAGTCCTGTTTGTATGCTGTGACTAGAGACTGAACAACACAGATGAAAACTGACACTTGTGGGAGTGGCTGAGAAAATGTATGCTTATGTATACCTGTGTTGTCACTTTGAAATATTTACATATACAAAATATTAAACATTAACACCAAGTCAGGCTTCTAGTAACAAAAAGCAGTGAGGAAAGTTTAACCGTGATCTGACTGAAGTACACAGGTTTTGAAGAAGGAGACCAAAGAGCCCCTCCTCTGCACTCAGGGCTCTAAGAACTAGGAAGAAAATCATAGTTTATGCTATGTAAATACTAAACAATTTGGAATAGAACTCAGATTATTATTTGAGTATTTCCTCTAAAGTGTCAGAAAATAAGATGTGTATTTGTAATCTCTTCTGCTGATCCTGAGAGTACTTATGTACGCATGACAATAGATGTTAAATGTGATCACATGAGGCAAAATGGACTTGGCAAACTGGGTGAGAACATGGATCACTTAACAATGACCATTTGTGTGCACTGTTGTTGGAAAGGCATTTCAGGAATTTCTGTACCTTTGTACTGTTATACAATCTATTTCTGTCCTACTAAAGATTAAGTACTTAGGGATGGAGCCTGCATGCACAGATTAAAGAGATGATAACCAAACCCTTGAGATGCAACTGTGAAATAATCTTCACTTGTATGCTGTGTGTTACAAAAACCTGCCAGTGCTCATGAAAGTATCACACTTGTAGGTATAAACTTGGACTTATAAAGTAGCTTAACAAATGTGTTCAAGTTCAGAGGAAGGAGAATAATTTTCCTCTGCATTGATTCTGTACCATGTAGTATTGAATTACTTAAGCTTCTGCTGGCTGGATGTTTTCTTGTATTGCTGTATTAAAGGTCATGCATTCATATTTGAAAACTAACAATAACATTCAGAACTAAGAGTAACAGGAAATTAAAAGCTGATCTAATGATAAAATATACAAAACTTACAGGAAAAAAAATGCAGGTTGCTAGGTTTCCATTAAAGATGGGTTCAGTTTATCACCAAGATATGAGAACTGATTTATATTAGGAAATCAGTTTCAAAACTGGTATTGGTAAAATTCATATTTTACTTATGAGTGCCTTCTAGCTGAATTAGGGGAAATTACTCTCCAGGTAGTCTGGGACAGATTGCCTCTTGCCCTGGGTGCAAGGCACACTGCCTGCAAGCTTTAAGCACTGGAGCAGGCTACTTCTGTGCAAAGATCCCTCTCTTCTATCCTATTCTCGTAAGAAAGACTGGATGGGGCAGAGAATGCCCTCATCAGCCTGATGGAAGGCATGGGTTGCTGTTGAACAGGTAGTTGAAAATCAGACAAGCAAGAGATACATTTAGTTCTTTCCTGAACCAAAATGGTAAACCAAGAAAACAATGTAATGCCATCATAATGCCTCATTTAGTTTATCTCTAAACTGGTGCTGACAGCTAGATACCAGCCAAGCTATTGACTTGTTAGGTGTACAGCAGTCAAAAGCTTCTTGCAGGATTTCAAACAGAGCCTTCAAGACATTAGCTAGTAAAACTTTAAAACAGGGCCTCCCAAACACCACCATTTAAAGCTTTTAATTATTAGAGCAAAAGTAGATATAAACACTTCTTCTAGTACAGACCTACTGCCTGAGGAAACCCAGCTTTTCTGAGGTGGACTCGGAACTGTCTCAACTCAGTGATTGGCTTTTCATTTTAAAAAGTGAAAAGCATCTTAAGGCATAGTCCAAGAGTATTAATTTCTTCTTTCATTTTTAAACTGTGATAACTTGTTCTTTCCCATCCAAAGGATTAAAGATTTCCTTTCTTAGTCAGTGTACCCATTTGAGTCACACTTCTTTACTCCTTTTAACTATAATTAAGTCAGGTAAGCTAGTGTTGTGACAGTTTTAATTGGTATGGAACAGCTTCTAGCCTTAAAGGTGCTCATAACCCTGTCCTTATAAAGAATTTGTCTGTCTTCTAAGGCAGGGGAGCAGGGTACACTCTTCTGGCAAAGCAGGATTATAATTTATGTAAATCAAGCAATAATGTCAGAACAGATATATGAGAACTGCCAGCATAGGCCAAACAGTACTGCAGCTCGCTCACATCACTGTTTCAGGCCTGAGTAGATGAGTGAGGGTTAGATTAGCCTGTGTCCTCTGAATGATTTCACTTGGTGAGACTTAAGTGGAATCTCCACTGTGATATCTTTGAGAACAGCATATATTAACACCTGTGGTTTAAAATCCTTCTTTAAAACTACAGTTTGTGTTAAGTGCTGTTGCTCTCCACCATGTTTGGTCTCTTCTTCATTAGTTTTTTATATAATTAGCTATTATTAAGTAATGAAAAAGCTTTAAATATATTTTTAAAGGTAATTTACAAAACTATATACCTTAGTGCAATGAATGTAGTTTATTCTGTAGAGCAGGTAAATGTCACTACCTTATGCCTCTTCCCAAAGCTTACTTATTTCTATGCTTTTATGTAATATAAAAATGCAGTGTAATTATTATACATGTTCTAGGGAAAAAAAATAGAAAAAAAATGTATACAATACACTCTTTGTGAAAGTTTACAGAGTTTTATGAAAAAGTATTGATAAGCCTTAAACCAAGCTATTTATTATGGTTTATTTTGACTGTGAATAGTACCATGCAGTCTGATACTGAACCAGATATGTGGCTTGTACGTGAGTTAAAGCTGCCATCTAGTTGCAAGCATTGTGCAAGACAACTGAAGGAGAATAGTAAGATCTAGTTGGATACCTATAGTATGTAGTTTGCTACTATGATCTTTTACAAAGTAGAACACAGCTACAGGAAAAACCAACTGGTACTTTGCAAGTTTTATTTTTTATTCGACTCATTTTTCTGTTTTATATTTGGGGGTAAAATGCATTTCTGAAAAAGCGATGTATGTGAAAATCCTCAGTGAGACACCCTCGCAGGTGTTTCAACCCAGCAGGTTAAAAGTAGACCTGAATGATGCACAGATTCAGTTTGATTATGGTTTCAAACCCAAATTTAATCAGTGTGATTAAACACACACACTTGTGCTAGTATCGGGTGCCAATTCAAAAACCCAAAGATACCAAAAGACAGAACTAAACTTTCTTATGCAACAGATTTTGCTTCTTTTGAGCCCGTGAAGAAATGCTAACAACATTTAACTGCATTCTCACAGAGCTGCATTTACAAAAAAAAGCTCAGTTGAAATACCTGTATTTTAATGAGCTCAGTTTTCTAAGACACTGACAGATTCAAAAGACTTTTACTGTACACCTCTCTCCAGTTTTATTTGGAAGGCTTGACACAGAAAAGACGTAATTGCAATAAAAGCAATACTGAATGATACTCAATCCCCTAGGGAAATACTTAATTTTTTTCCAGTTTCTATTAGAATGAACATTAGGATTTGCTGAGCCCCAAATCGGGGAGGCATTTCATAGTTGACTGGGTAGTGTGTTTTGTTTTGTGTGGGATTTTTTTGATGTTTTTGTTAAGCAAATAATACTTTTCACAGTTCAGAGACATGCATCTTTTCACACTTGTTGAACCAAGATATTTAACACAAAGGCTTTAATGAGGAGATGCTCTAAAGGAACAGGTTTAGCTTTTCATCATGGCCTCCTCAGCCTCTTCACTAGACTGATCATTTTATTCCTTCATGGCCCTTAGCATGTTGTTGTCATATCTAGTGTTGCCTGTATGTGCCTTGAAACCTAATTTTTGTTCAAAACTAAACATTCAAAATGTGAATTCTTACTACTAACTTCATAATGATGCATTGCTTACCTTGTAGCATTAGAGGGATCTGCTTTTCATACTGGCTGTAGCATTATTGTGAAAGACTGGTGCACTGTGGAAACACTTCTTTTCTCAACTACCTTTTGCCCTAAGTGTTCAAAAGTAGCTTTCTTTGCCTTCCTGTAAACCTGACAGTTAACTTTTAAAATGATCATCTGGTTTTGGGATGCAAAGAATTTCATCTCAGGTTTCAGGAGAATACCTCAGGATTCTTAGTGTATTGCTGAACAAGATGGGGAAAAGTCTGCCCGTGTAAGAAACAAATTCATTTAATGGAAAACTTCAGCAGAAGAAAAAAGAATAATTTCTTATTTCAGCACAAAAAGCATCAAGTATTTCACAGTAATGAGGATGTAAAGATAGGTTGCAAAAATGCCTTACCTGAAGAGTGTTTGAACATTTACAATAGTCTTGGCATCTGCCATGTAGTCTTCTTCAGCACTCATTGTACTTTCTTTGTCCACCACCACCATATTAGCTGCAAAGGTGACCCCACATCTTAATAAGTCATCTAGGCTTTTATGAGGAGAAAGAGAGGGAAAAAGAAACAAGCAACTTAAATATGGAACACTTAAAGGATTGGTGATGGTTGGCATTTGCAGATCAGCTCAGTCCCCTTCATTTCCATGTACATATCATAACTTCTAATATAATCTATATTAAGTAAAACATCTCAATTACTTGACAGAATACAGAATCTACTTTAGTAGATTGTTACAGCCCCTCTCTGTTTGCTAAATGATAAATTTTTTTTTTTTTTTTTTTTTTTTTTTTTTTTTTTTTAAATAAGCCTTTAAAGGTTACTGTGGAAGACAATATGCTGCAACAACTTGCTCCATGACAATTACTTTAGACAATAAAAAGACCCAAATAAATGCTCTGGGTTGCTCTTCCCCACAAGTTTATTTCAGTTTCAAAATGTTACTAAAAGTTCTACCAGGGTATCTAAGACAGTAATCTTTTAGGTTAACCTATGAGTTGGAGTGTTCTCATGATACTTTTAGGAGTGGCTGTGGATCAGAAGTAACTTTACACGCTCCCGGACTATGTTTCTCTGAAGCCTGATCACAGAACACACTCACAGACAACTGAGTTATGGTTCTTATCACGCCTTGTAGCTTTGTTTCCAAAATAAAGCATGTTTCAGCTGTTTTAACAATAATATTTTCCAGAGACCCCAAGCATTTTTTGGCAAGTTTAGAAAGGACTTTTCTGTAACAATAAAGACTCCAGAAACCTAGCAAAATTTAAGTAAGTGAAATAAGAAGGGGTGAATTTCATAGTTTCCAAGGGAAATGGAAAACTAAATTTCTGCATCATTCTGTTTACTTACAAGGTGGAGCTGTTTTGACATCATAATTGCTTCTTATTAGGTAATCTTACAATATTAACTAAGTCTTAATGTCCTTTTTTTCTTTTCCAAATTGTCCAATTTTTCTTTTCAGTAATGATCTTCTTAAGTTCCTAAATTTATGTAACACATTGTAAATTATTTTTGAAAATTTGAGTACGGAAAACTACAAATATATGGTGCTTTTTAACATCGTGTTTTGGAAGAATATATATAATTATTTTTGAAACTGTGCAATATCACTGATGGTTGACTACAAGAAAAGAAAGGTTGATATTATATGATCTATACTAACAATTTCAGTGGACAAGTAGAACTCCAAACCTTTTCTGAGTAATTTGTATTTCTGCTTTTTCAGACTTTCAGTTGATCCTTGAAAATAGCAGCATATACTGAAATTTCAGTGCCAAGTTTATAAAAAAACTGGATTCTGTTAATTCAAGAGAACAAGTAAGTTTTTTGATCTCTCCAAAGGGAATTAATAATTGTATCCCCAATTTGGTATTAGCTGTGCTGTGAAGTAGTTTTTTAAATTTACAGTCTACACACAGGCGTTTACTAAAATACTCATGAGCCCTTCCTCTTCTCCTGTTTCTGTCTGATTTTTACATTAAATCAATGTTGCTAAACCTATATGTAAACATATTAGTAGAGGTGAAGACAGAAATGTAGGAGTAAGTGATATTTTAAGTGGTGGAAAATGAAAACTGTTGGACACATTCATGACTGTTTACATTCTGTAGCTATCTTTACAAAACCTGAGTCAATAAATTCAAACCATTTATAACTCAGTACAGAATAACACTGGAATAAGAGCTATAATCTGTTCATTTAAAGGGACATATTAATGCACCTGAATAAGTGTTAATCTTATGTTTTAAAGATATTAACTTGTGGTCCCTGCCACATTTTTCACTAATGATACCCTTATAAATCAGAAATTTGAAACCCCAAATTATAGCACACAGACACAAACCGTGCATGCAAAAAGATCATCTTCAACTACAACACAGACTGAAACATGCAATCACGATACACACAACAAACCACTGAGAACTACAATGTTAAGTTTTCTAACAGTTATTTCACCTACTTGTCGATAGAGCCAACCATGTAGTAAACCATTGGAAACCAACAGATTGCATCCAGAAAATGCATATCTGGCCTAAGCAGCAGATGGGATTACAAAATGAAACACAGTATCACAACACCAACATCTCTTCTAAAATATTTCAATAAACTGGTAGGTTTTTTTTTAAAAAGTAACTTCTTTAAACTTTGACATTATAATACCGCTTTAAGCAGGAGAAAGGTTTGTAGATAGCTATGAATCAACAGTTTGCTGTGATCATAAAGAAGGATCAGAAGTAACACGCTTATATTAATAAATGCTCCTCTAAAATCAGCAATTTTATGGCACAGAACAATTCCAAGTGTAAGAATGAATGACTGATGTCAAGGACACACTACCAACTTATACATACTCCAATGCATGTCTTAGGAGTACTTAAAACAAGCAGCAACAATTCTTAATTAAAATGTGAAGTGGAAATCAAATCATCATTAGGGTTTTGCAACACCTACTCCATTCAAGTCAATGAGACAATATTAGACGAAACTTAATTTTTAAAATGGAATGTGAAAACTAAGATACTATATTTTATTGCATGGTTTCTTTAATCATAACTTTTACTGTGTTTCCTCTTACAATACCAAGAAACACTGGAAATCTTAGAACACATATGATGTGTAGGTATCAGAACAGGCACACTGTAATAAATAGCCTTGATAAGCAGAGAAAACAGGAATACAACAAGGCATAGATATGTTCATTGGAGATGGTTGAATTCCCAAGTCCAATGAAGTAAATTAAAAAATTCCAATTGACTTGAATGGCAGCCTGAGTTCTACCTCCTTTCAGAGGAGTCACTGCAAACGCTGCGTAGAGAGACACAACACTAAGGGTATTAGTTCAATTAGAAAGCATAGCTTTTACTTTATGCTAATCAGAAGTTGTTTTAGCCATTAAATATCACAACAGCATTAAAATGTGTAAACTCAGGCACTCTGCTGGCAAAAAGAGCAAGCACTAGAGGGCATCGTGTGCTCACGGCTTCAGTCTGACTTTGCAAAGTGATTTAGTCTCATTTAGGCTTCTACCAACTTGTGTAATTCACTGTATGACATAGTATGAACATAAACCTTCTCTTTTGCAAACACAGGTGACTGAAGAGCTGCCTGAGGGAAAGTGGGACACTTCACAGCAGGCCTTTGTAGAAAAAAAATAATCCCTTAACCTGGAACCTATCTATACAAAGGGATGTGTCAGCCCTGGAATCACAGCCTACAAGACGTTTTTGCTGCTGTCCTTTCTTAGAACCATAGCTTGTTCTAATTTTCTGTATACAGCTAACCTCCATTTTTGTGTCTTTCAAATTGTGATTTTAAGTACTTGAGCAGTACCAAAGTGTGGAAAAAAAAATAAATTTCATTGTCAGATTATAAATATACCAGTCTTGACAGAGTAGAATTTGTCTTAAATTTTAAACAGCTAATGCAAGAAAGGCTAAAAATTCCAGTGATCCCCAGACAGATATAGTAGTGACAACTATATTGCAGGTTTTAATTTCCTTCCATGATTTTATATAATTGTAGACAAAGGGTGTCTGTGGGTGTTCTCCTGGCTTAAATAACTGTTTATCTTTGAGTCTAGAATTATTAAAAGTGTACCTAGCTGGTCCAGGCCAGTAAGTGCATTGTGTTAAGTAGGTTAGTGCAATTATGTAGCTGTGAAACTGTTACACAGCTTGTTTTTTACAGTGTTTATAAAATTATGTTGATTTTAAAAGTAGTATTCACATTATTTGGGGTATTTTTAAGAAAAACTTAGATGAAACATTAGCTGTGAAGAATAACAACGTTTAAATTTACTATGGCCATTTACAGTCAGTAAAAGCTCAATTTTGTGTATGACAGTGAACATAGGGTGTTATTTTTGTCAATAACTTTCCTCAAAGATAAATGTGCCATAATATTCTTGATTTTAAGTTGGCCATATGAAAAGTATCTATTGAAGTAATGGTAAAATGAGTTTAAAACTTGTCAAAGAAAAAAAAAATCTACTTACGGGTTATCCAGGAGTAACACAATGGGGTTCAGTTCTTTCTTTGGTCGGTAATAAGCTCTGAGTGGAACAATAAAGTTATATAAGCCATTGCCAGCAGTTTCTGCTGCAACTATAATCAATTTATTTTTGAATCCATAGGCTTTGGCATCTTCATAGTAGTTATGTTGGCATCCCTAAAATCAAAATAAGAAACAAGTTCAGTGGATGTGAATATTGTACCAGATGACCTGATATAGACCTGGTTAGACATAAATAAACACTTGGTGATGAAAAGGAGGAGAAAAAGAAAACAGAGTTCAGCAAGTGCTGAAGAAACCTCATCCCTAAGCAGAAATAAGAATTTACCTCTGTTCAGATGCCAGAGACAAATGAGAATGCAGTGTTTATCCAGTAAGAGAAACTTCCTTTACCTTATCCAGTCTTAGACAACAGAAGGGTACTTTTTCATGCAGAAGATGACAAAATGTGGGAGAACTTCCAATATATGGAGAGTAAGGAGGATAGCCTTTGGCATACCTAGAATAGAACAAACATTTTTCAGTAGAGCAAATTACCGAAAGACAGCTGACTGTACTACTATTTTATGGGATGTTTATACATATGTCTAAGTTTCGCAGAGTCAAGTATGTGAAATGAACTGTTTAATAAAGGTCAAAGGAATATATTTTGCTGTTTCCATGAATTCAGTACAACCTAGTGAAAGCTGTCATGCTTCTGTGGACCGAAGAAATTTTGCTTCGGGTTTTGAAAATAGGCTGATATATCATAGTGTGCTCTCCTAGTGTTTTGAACTGGAAACTTCTGAGGAAGTTAAAAAAGGAAAGAAAAGAAATAGCAATAACTGTATTTCTGCTCTTCCTTCTCTAATTTTACTTTCAAATACTTATCAAGAATGAGTGAAGTCATTACCTCTTTGCTTTATTAAAATACTTTCAAAATGGCTGAAATAAATTTTAAATGGCAAATCCTCTTGCTGATAAGATGAAATTTCTAATTTGCCTTAGTTTTGTGCAAGAGGCCTTTTAAATCCCGAGATTTCATTCTGCAGATTTAAGATGACTTGTTCTATTATTTTTTTCCTTAGAACTGTATAATATTTCCTGGGGCTTCTCATGCTTGCCAGTGTTGGAGATGGGAAACTCTGGTAGGTGAGCCACTGGCTTAATTGTGTATTTCACTTTTAACATCCCTGTCAGCAATCCCAATAAACATAATTGCTTATCTATATGGCAGTTACATGATTCAATCTGGGTTTATCTGGGTAATGCATCATTGCTCTCAGTAATACATTAACAAGTATTTTAAATTAGACATGATAATTTTGTCTCATACTGGTTTTTTTGTCATTCCTACATTTGGAAGCCAGACACCTCACCCCAGCATTCAACAAGCCTGTTAGATGATCTGATTATCAATGCATTCTCAGGGCAGGAGTACTTATCTGTTTCCAAATTAGTTGAGTGCTAACTTAGTAACTAAAGATGGTAAGAAAAATGGCCATAAAATATGCTATGAAAAAAACTTCAGACACAACTAGATCTTTTATAACAGCAGACAGAAAATCTCCAGCAAATGGAAGAGTTAACCTGTTGGGGCTTTCTTTATTTCAAAATAGGCTTATGGCATTCTGCTGGCAGAAAATAGCATTTCATAAAAGGGAATAATTCCATAATTGGGCTTTATGGGTCTTGCTTCCTACAACTTCTTGGATTGATCTGCATGTCAAAAAAATCGATAGATGCCTTTCACATAATAGTGGCTTTTCAAATTATATTTAATACACATACTCTAAGCCTGCAGAGACTTCATCATCTGATGGGGTAGTTTCATCTTCTGACTGGTCACTTAGCAGGTCACACGTCTGAAGTGAGGATGAGTCTGCAACCTCCAAAACTGGTGCTATGCTGGGCCGTCTGCCCTCCTTCCCTCCGTCAGGAGGAAGGGCCAGCGTAGCTCCGCTGGACGCTCGGCATCCTGTGTCTTGTAGATCGATAGCCACGGTCCCTGAGGTAGCGTTGAAAACATTTCCTCAGTGTGCTTGTCAAAACATTTCAGTGAGATTCCCGTATTTAGTGGGGATTCTAACTACATGGCCAGAGACTGAAAGTAATACTATATTGATTGTGTTTATTACATTAAAATATAACAAATATTAAAACTATACTTGAGGAAAGTAGCACTTTTTCTGACTGTTAATATATGTTGTCTTGTTAACTACACTTTTAAAATGACACCTTATATAAGAATCCATACTAATATACATCAACAACCTGTAGATTTTCCTAAGGGCATTTTTTTAATCAAAGACACCTACAAAAACTTACTACAGACAACCAGGTAGGAAAGCCAAAGTACTCATGTGATTTACCCAATTGTTTTGCTTTGCATACACTTTAATATTACTTTATTATACACCATTCTTAACCAGTTTAATACCATATTGTCAAGTAAAAGAAAAAGATACCCAAATTCCATTTGTTTTGGTTTTTGTTGTTGTGGGATTTTTGTAAATATGAGGGCAAGTGTTTAATATTTTTACATGTTTTAGTTTATTCACATGATTATAGGTTTCTAAAATTTTAGGAATACGGTTTAAAACATACTAATGTACTATATATTGAATAAGAATTTGTTGTGAGGGTTTTTTTATTTTACTTACCCATGCTGGCTATTATACTGTGTACTGGTAGCCTGGAAGCTCCATGGTAAGATAATTTTGATTCGTGGTTTTTTCTATGCTTTTCTTGCTTCTTAAAAGCAGAATTCTCTTCTTTGGTGATATTTATATAAAAGCATATATCTGTAGAACTCATGATATATCGAGGACCTGGATTCAGCAAAATGTTTTTGTTATCTTCCTTTCTAACACCAATCAGACAGACTCCAAACCTTAATTAGAAAAGGAAAGGCATGGTTCATTTTGCATAGTCCTGCACATACCAGAATTTCCATTGTCAAAAATGAACCTCGGGTATATTTTTATATTTTGCACATTATGAATATTTGCAGATTTTTGGATGACAAGTATGTTTGAAAAATGTTGTCTGCTAAATAGGCCACTTCTGATCAAGCAGTTTTTATGAGCTCATGAATTCCTAGGCAATTGAATCGAATGGTTTTCTTAATCCCCATAATATTCTTATAATGTTGTTCTAGTTGTTTTTTTTTTTCCTATCAGATGAATAGTCCCTTCTGGGAAAATATTAGTAGAAAGATGGATATATAACATGAAAAAGTATTAATCATGTTAAATTGTTGCATTATTCATAAGTAATGGAAACCATTTTCCTAATTCATTTTTGCGATTCACTTCTAGAAATGTATTCGATTAGTGATAGAAAATAAGGAATTACAGCAAAAAACCTAATCTTTCATTCATTAAGTATGAGAATAAACTCTGTATTCAGGGTTTGATAAATGTTCATTTTGTTAAATATATACAAACATACGCAATTTGTGTTTATTTTATGTGTTTACCTCATAGAGCAGCATCAAATAAGTGATGCATCATCTGGAACTTAAAGAAGATATGTTATCATCTAACAGAAAAAAATACGGGTTTATTTCCGAACAATCACCAGAATGTACCGTATGCCACCTTTAAATTGAACGTGTTGCATAAAACGGTTATGCCACAAAGGAAGCCAGATTTCCAGCTGAGTCCTAAATAAATAAAAACCCCACACCCTCCCCCTCATTCTTTTCCAGATTGTTTTGGGCATGGAAAAGGACTGATGTTCTCATAAAACCTCTCTAAGGTTCATTTTTTTTTCTGACTGTCCAGCTTATGCTTTATATCCTTTACATTCTACTCTCTCAGACTGAGAAGGCCTGTACAGAATGAACATGAGCTTTTACCTGACCAGCTATAACTTACAGAAGTATACCCATATGAGTGGCCAGGTACAGAGTAATGTGTATTACTGTGCGTTTGAGTGCATAGCTGTGTTGCAGACAAAACAAGCAATTATTTGTTTGAACTTTTAACTGTTGACAGGAAAATAAACATACTTTTTATGTGCATGGAAAGAAGCATATGTGAAGCTCTTCCCCTCGTACTCAGCAAAAAAAGTACTTTCTTCCAGGTTAATATGATACACTTCGTTACCAGAGCATCTGCCATACATTTTCTGCCATTGTTCTGGTGACTGCTGACACTCCCTGAAACATGTACAGATAAACAGAATAATTTAAAATATAATGTAGAATTCTTATTAATCACAACAGCGTTTCATGGCAATAGAAACTACAAATGTCTGTTAAAAAGGTCCATTAGGCTGATCTGAAAGAAATATTTGAGATCAAAGCCTGGTAATACTGTAAGTACAGAGATTATTTTAATGAATTAAAGAGCATTTTCTGCTAAGTAATAGGCATATAAGATTATGTACTTTATTATCAGGAGAGAGATAGCTGAATTACTTTAAATTCACACCATAATAAGTAGATTCATTGCAATTTAAAGATGACAGGTGAAACCACCAGCATGCTCATTCTACTCATAAAGACAGTATCTTCAGATGCTTTGTAGCAGACTGTGTGGTTCCTGTTTGAAGTAGGTAAAGAATCATTAATAATAACTTACATAAGATAGAGTAATTTCTCTTTGGTCACTTTATCTGTAAGAAAGATTTTTTGTATTTGCTTATCGGTGAACTTTACCCTATGGACATTTTTAGTTACTGTATCTTGTATAGTATTACAAGTATATATGTTCTTTTCTCTAGTGCAAGAGAATAAGCATATGATCCTTTACTCTGTGCAGCTAATGTTCTTTATCCAAATGCAGTGTTTAGTGGAAATGTTCCAAACCTCAGCTAACAACAAAACTTGTAGCCCTGGGGCTTCTGTGAACTTTTTTATTAGAGTTTCATGGTGAAACAAGGTTCTGCCTGCCTGAGTTTTACTGGATGTAATGGATACATATATAGACTAGACATACGTAAGTGCAGATAGGTCATAAAACTGACAAATGTGTTCTGTGTTTTGCCAGTTGGAGTGAAGATCTCAAGGTATTGGGAAATGCTCCTTTATGCTTATTTGTACGTTTTCAATATCTTAACACAATTTCTGTTTTTCTTCAGTTTACCATGTTTCTCCACCTTCAGCATGAAAACATTTTGTTTCAGGATGGAAATAAGTAAACCATTTTTACTGCAGCAGTATTAACAAACAGTGCACTTGGTGTAGAACAGCAGAACTAGAAATGAAATTACAGAAAACTTTTCCATATTTGACTTTTCCCCCTAAAATAAAACGTTCACCTGTTTAAAGTCTGCTTGGTTCCAGTTAGTTGTCTAAAAGCTTCCCATGGAGCTGTTCTGCAAAGATCACATTAAGTACAAGTCAGTCAATATTTTGTGTCATAATACAAACCCTAATAAAGTCCTATTACTGAATTAGATAATGAGATAACATTTAAAGATAAGATTATAATATTGAGATCAATAATAAGATTATAAATAAGATACAAGGTAGTCCCTTTCACATGTCTGAATTTGTGCTGATGGAAAATTCTCTGATAGCTGTTAGGAATACTGCTTTTCTTTTATGTGCATGTCATATGAAATAACTAAAAAAGGCTCTGTATTCTGTGCTTGTCAGATAAAGGTAGGCAGATGAAGAATGTATTTCATCTCGGTGCTCAGGAGGTATGGAAACAGTATTTTGTTGTTGTCTTCTTAACAAAGCCTGGTACAGACAGTGCCATTAAAATCTTGACATCTGTTGTTCTTGATAGTAAAAGTTCTGGCAAGAATTTCTGTTTTCCCCATTCAGGGCACAGGGGAATACTACAAATGCCACACAGAAGGTTAAATAACTCTGCTTATAAATATCATGGTATTACTGGTCCATGGTAACTTGGAAAAAAGTTAGCATTTTTACAAGACTTGTGTAGTCTTGTAAATACTTGAATATCGTACCTATATTCAGGTATTCCATCTCTACAGATATATTTTGAGATTTACTTTTTAAAGCACCTGTCTGCCCACAACATTTTATTAAGAATACCTTATGATTCCGAGAATATAGCATAACAGAGATATACCAGATGTGGCAACGTTAGTTTAGTAAATACATAGAAGTGCTACTGTGACTATGCAGTCTGTAGAGACACTGTAATTCTGTATCCTTCCAGCAGTGTGGTTATATTAAAAACCATGTATGTTTGTTTGCTTCTTAATGTACAGGAACTGAATAGCAAATAATATATGTTATCAGAAAAACATTTTTTGAGCTCAGTGAAACAGACCTGCAAATTAACATATTGAAATAGGGCTTTGCTGGTTTCTTAAGTAGAACTTTGGCATAGATCCACAATTCAATCTACTAAATTAGAAATACAATTTTTTTTTCATATTTTATGTTGTAGAAGTGGCACAACAGCATGCAACAAACTTAAATATTGGAGGAGGGGTGTCCCTTTGACATTATAATGCCATGACTGAAATATCTTGGTGCTTTTATTGTGCAGAAAGTTCTATCTTCTTTTTTAAAACTGCAGTTGTTTAGGAATTCATGGTAAGCTGTTTTCCAAAGAATATCAGCTATGACTTTTACAAGTTGTTTGGGTTTTTATGGTACTAAATACTTACTGTCCCCTAGATGTATGAACCAACAGTGTGATTAATGTAGAAGTAGCTGGGCATATACAATTTAGAGCTAGCATAGCATATTTGAATTCCTCTTCACACACAACATGATCTGTAGGAAAAAAAAGAAGATATAAATTGTTTTACAAAAATACTTTCAATTGAACAGAATTATCACTTCCTTGTCTAGGAAATCAGTGAAGATGTATCATCCACTTGCTTCGGGATCTTCATCTTCCACTTGAACCTTGGAAATGAGGTGTGTATGATTTGCCCCATCTTTGCTGTCTCTCAGACTGCACGAGGTTTGCATCCAGTTTGTGCTGTCTGTCCTGGATTTACACATGGAGAGGATGCAGTGGCTCTGTGAATCCCACTTCCACTCTCCTGTTGCACTAGCTGTAGGAGTAGAGCTACGAAGCATAGTCTGGTTTGTATCTTCTGCACTTGAACTGCCAAATCTGTACGTGCTTTCAGTGTCATATGAATTATTATTGCATGCTAAGTCAGTTTTTCTTCTGAATTTAGTGTTTGATTCAGTCTATGTCCTTTCAATGGGAGCAGAATTAGCTTCTGATTAGAAAGAATATTAGAGTAGTACAGCTTACCAAAAGATAAGCCATATGAAAATTGCTGAGTAAAAGTAAGTAAATAATTTCCCCACCTAGATCTGAGCTATCTACATAGATATGCTTCTAGTTTCATTAATATATCATTGAAATCCTTAGGACCACCTTGTCTAATATACTTTCTAGTCAGAATATAGCTATAAGCATGCCACTTACTGAAAATAAAAGTGAAGGCATACAAAGTATGCCTTCTTTGTTCCCTATTGTTTTGAAATATCAAGAGGCTTTTCAGTAACAGAATCATTGACTACTGAAAGGAGAAATTAATTCTGTCATTTTCTGAAGATCAAGACCTATTTAAATGTCATAGGGAAGGGATGAATTTAGTTATATAAAGACACTGTCAAATATAAAACAAAATAAGATTTTTCCTCCTGTAAATATATTTCACTTATAGCAATTAAATATTTCTGCAGAAAATATTTCAGATAGAAATACGTTCTTTTAGTTGACCTTATGCCATTAATAAATCTATTTGAATTTCAAACCAGAGATTTTGAGAGAGTAAGACATAGTCTAGTGGTTGGATGGAATATCTGCATTCTGTTACCATCAGTCAGATGGCAGATTTATGAAAGTGAATACCAACTTCCTCGTAATGAAGGAATGAGAATTTTACATATTTTTTAATTTGTATTGGATTTGACTAAATAACCTCCCCTTATTTTTTTTTGTTTAGAATGTTTTTATACTATAGCTAATAATTTTGAAAATACAAGCAAGAAAAAATACACAAGAAAATTATTTCATTGTAATTTCAGATCACGTACTTGAGCTAAATTGGACATGATGATTTAATATATATAAAAGAAAATTAAAATATCATGGCTAGCACAATGCAAATGAAAAGTATAACTTGGACTTAAATCCTCTGTATGTTCTATACTCTCTACCATATGTGGTGGACTTTTTGGACAGATTTTATGTAAAGTATTATCTAACAAAGGATATAGTACACAGCAAACAGAGACTGCTGTCCTACAACAGCCATTCTAATCTTGTATGTCTAAGAGATCCACATTGTGCTGTCAAGTGTTTTTTCATCAAGAGCCATGATGCTGGGACTTGTAGGACTATTTCTACACCAGTTGTAGACTTTGACCTTGTGTGAGTTAATTATGCCTTTCATGACTTGTTATGCATCTGTAAAATAGGTATATGAAAATAACACCCCACAGACTTCAGAAGTGTTTTGACGCTTTTGACTTCTCAGAGGTACTTTGACACCACCATGTGAAAGCTTCTTCAGCGATCTAATTACCACTACTAGAAATATTGTAGCCATTTGAAACACAAAGAGAGGTACTATGGGTTTCTCCTCTTGGCTGCAGTTAAGTTCTTGTATAAGCCACAGATCAGGTAAAAAATACTTTGCTCATTTCTCCAATTCATTGACAGATTATAGCTTGTCTATAACATTACCCTGTTTTGTATGTATGTTCAGGACTCACTGTGGAGCTGTGGTGAGGACTATTCAGAACTTTATCTGCTGCTTTATCTTCTAAAGTGAGAAGGGAGGAAGCTGGGTTACAGCTGTCCCACTCCTCAGGTCTTGGACACCATTCAGGTCCTCTGACAGCAAGTACCAGAATCAGCAAATTGCTCATTTGGGGTGACAGTAAAGCAGCCAAGGAAAACTTCGGTTTATCTTGAAATGAATAATAAATATGTCAAATCAGTTTACCAAAAAGAAATACTGTGATTGCATTTGTACTAATGAAATATTCCATTTAGAATTTCCAGAAGCTGTAGTTTCTGTTGAAAATATATTTCGACAGAAATTATGTTTCTAAGGCTGTCTCAAACAGATGTAGTAATGCAGTGTGGTGAGTTATGGTTTATGTAATGTTATTGACCATAAAACAGAGTCAGAATACTGATTTATGACTGCAGCAGCAGCCATGTGGTAAGCATGTCCTAGACCTGGCATGGTTATTCTGAGAAACCTTACTTTTGTCAATTTAATAAATTAACATAACCACTACCAGACCAGATAGGGAAAAATGCCCATCCATTACCTGGAGACTATTTTTATCTGTAATTGGATAGATTAATCATCAGATGCATTCAATATCCATTTCGGTGAATCTGGACTATGTTCCTTTCAAATAAACTACTGAAGGTTTAACGTCAGACTTCAACAATCTGTACTAATTCATTGGTGCATTTTGAATAAATAGAGAATGCCAAAATGTATCCCCATTTCCTGGAATTGTAATTATGCATAATTTCCAAACAATCAAGGTAAAATTAATTAATTTATTTTCTAGCATATATATATAAATATATATATATATAAAAGTTTTAAGTTCAACTCAGAAAATATGTGATTTAGTCCAGTGTCTGAATTGCATATATTGCTCTGCCAAGGACAATTTTAGTTTCCCATTTGTGCTGAAATGCAAGGCCAGACATGCAATAAGGATACATGGCCTTTTGTAGCCCCATGTGTTTGAAGGAGAAGTGGGAACATAAGCATATGAAACATAAGAAAACTATATGTAACTGCCAACAAAGGAAAATGCAGTATTACTGACAGAAAACCTGGGCGTGTCAAGGCATTTATATATTAGAAATTTCTAAGGAGAAATCAAAGAATTTCAGTTTAAGAGGTAAGACAGTGTTTCCTTGCCCATCTGACAACTGTCATGTTAGAGTGTGTATTTAGAGGGTTCATACCTTAAACTTGCAGTGGGGTTTGCTGGGACAAACACTTATGCCACTGTATTAATAGAAGTATAAGTTACCATTTTAAATGAAGTAGTTAAAATCCATTGTAAAAATTAACAGAAGGCACAGAATGCAAGGATGCATGTCCAGCATCAGGTGAGAAGCCAGGAAACCTGCCTTTCTGACAGGCCATATGACCCTGGACAAAGTAACTCAATCCTCTTGCTTTGATGACAAAAATAAGTTCTCGTGCTCTCATTGAAGACAGGAAGAATCTATAAGTCTTGTTTTCTATGTGTGAATAAATTATAACAATTATATGCTAATATACTATTTCTGATGCCAAAGGCAGAAGATCTCCAGGATGCTATTTTTGGGGGAAAGGCAGTCAGAGTCTAAATTTCAGGACTGTCTCATGCCATCTAGGAGGACTGGTCAGCCTAATCTAAGATGCTGAGAAACTGGGCTTATAGTGTTTTATAAATTTTCAATGTAGTTAAAAGTCAAACTTTAGTTAGGAGGACTTTCTGGAACTATTTGGCTGTATTTTTTCTAAATTCAGAAACTTTATTTTTGACAGTTATAGTCTCTAAAACTGTGCGTAAAGAAGGGGAAAAAAAAGAAAAAGAAATCCTATTACTGAATATTTCAGTCCATAAAAATGCACAATATTATTTTGGGAAACTTCCAGAAGAAAGAAGTCATTTTTTAAAGGAATATTAAATTTAAAAGAAGCTTTTGCATTAAGGCAGTAAAAAAGCAGTCTTGAATCATAATAGGAAAAGCACTTAGAAAAACGTTCCGAATGGTTATGACAAATTTTATTTGTAGGCACTCTGGATAGGTCTATTGTCTGCAGCTCCCACTGGATACATATTTCAGAATGAAGAGGAGTTGGATGAGATGAATAACAGGAGAGTCCTCTTAGGAAAATGTATGCAATTAAATGTTGCTCTCACAGCTCTGTGAGTGCCCTAACCCCTTGAAGTAGGGAAGCATCCAGCAGTGATGCTGAAGTTCAGTTGAAGGAAATATTACCAAAAGAGGTTTGGGGGGGGAGGGGATTGATTGGTTGGTTGTTTTGGTCCAAATTCTCTATCCGAGACTTAGAAGAGATATAAAAAATTACCTCTGTTTTGCAAGTCTAGTTTTATGTAAGTTCCTACAGAGACAAGCCATTAAGGATAATGAAACTCTCTTAAAAACACAATTTGGAACAACAAATTAACACAGTTACTGATAAAGAAAAGTGGCCATGGGTAGGGAGAAGAGATTATGTTTGTGTTATGTGGTTTTAAAGGAGAGATGAAAAAGCATTATCATTCCTGTCACAGCATGAGCCTTATTCCCTGCTGTGCCATCTCATAGTTTGAGATTACACTTTTATAACTTCAGAACTGCTATTGATGCTTTTTTTTCTTCTCTCTAACTTAGTGGTAAATTCAGTAGCTTTTAAAATTACAACTTTAACTGTTGCTCTGGGACTGTTCTGCACTAGAATTTACTTTTTTATCACATTCTGGTATGATGGAGGAGATTAATATTTTTCCATAGAGTTGTTTTGATTTTTGCATGAATCAGCAATCTTTTCTTCCTTAGAATATCTGTCAAGAAAACTGAATTTTCAAAATTAAAGCTGAAAAGGAAAACTTTTCCTCTACTTCAGAGAGATTCATTATATATTAGTTCATTATAAAAGTATTTGTGTGTTTTTGCACATAAGCATATTTATGTACATATGTATTTGTATATAGACAGTGTTTGTATATAGACAGAGAAAGAGAGACCTACCTACATATTGCAGAGAAAGTTTGTCAAATTAAAGCTGGTAATGTCTTTTTATATGAGTGAATTTTTTAAAATTTTCTAGCATCATTTTGCACTTTATGCCAGTTTCTAAGGCATGCATTTTACTGGATGTAGAATTAAATTATACGTCTCTTTCCAAAATGTTTGCAAGTAATTAAAATAATGTTTTCCATACCACTTAGAAAAAAATAGTCCAATGAGAAGATTTTTGCCCCACTTGTTTGTTGAATTAAATCTGGCCTTTTCTGCGTAGATTTTCTTATATATCCCTTAGTATGATTTTTAGACAGAAATGACTTACAGACATGGATATAGTAAGCTGGAGACCTACTCGGATCTATAATTAAGGAGTAGCAATGCGTTATAATGAAAGAATTCTACTCTCTTCATTATGCAACATAAGACTAATAATTCTTAAAAGTGCTTACAACTAAGTGTTTAATGTAAAACATGACATTTTACCATTGATAGGACACATACAGCCCATGGTATTTTACAACACTGCACTCTTAATCAGCTTCTAACCAGTAAATATGTCCAGGGATTCTCACTTTGCTTGTGCGTTTATGAAACAAACTGCCAAATACTAACAAGTGCTTCAATGACTGAAATCTCACACTTACCTGCAAACTTAATGTGGAATTTATTCTCAGGTTTCAATATCTGGACATACAAAGGACAATTTGGAGCAAAGTCTTTAACTGCCCAGGCTCTTAAAATGGTTTGATGATCCTAGAATAAAAAGTATGAGGTGATGACAAATAACCATGTCACATTAGAAAAAGAATCTATTATCAGACTGACTCCATTGAGGAAAACTCATTTTAAGACTAGTAATTATATACCAGCTGGTGTGGATGTTTATGTACACCTTATATAAGTAATATTACATATTATGTGTATTACATAATTACGTATACACATAGACAAACTATCCAGTAATTCTGCAGACGTGGACAAGGCTGAGGCACTCTGTGTTCTCTCAGGCCTCTGCTTTGAGGCAGGCTCAAGCAGGAGGAGGATCACCAGCAGGGGATGATCTTGACAGGGATTGCTTCAGAGACCTCAACCCATAAGAGCCTGCAGGGTCAGATGGGTACAGACAGAGCAGACCAATGTCCTTGAAGAGTTGCATTCTTATCTTTGAAAGGTTGTGGAGACTAGGAGAAGTCTCCAACAACACCAGAAAAATCTGTATTCTCTCCTCCATCTTCAGACATTAGTCTGGAGGAGTGCAAAATTATATTTGTTGGAACGCAGATTAGAGAGCTTGTTTACAGAAATCTTCCACTAATAAGGTATTTTGACCGTCTCCTATCTTTCTGCAAGTGTCATCAAGGGATCATGTCATTTGGAAAGGGGTGACATTTGGATGTGGAAGAATTGTGTGAAAACTTAGATGGCAGTGATGAGTCATGTCTAATTAATCAAGAATGATGTAGCAGAGATGTCTTTCCAAAGAGACTCAAAATTAAAATAGCCTTAAATGAGGACATCAGGAAGTGAGGGTTTAAAATTGTGGCTAAATCTAAAAAATAACAGTTTAATTAAAAGCAGATCTACGTTTTCGTGCAACTAAAACATTTGCACAACTGACGTCAGAATTTTGCCAGCTACTGACCAAAGATTCCAAGAGATTTCTCAGCCTGTTATTTTTGTCCTATGGCAAGGATGAATACTGCTATCCTAGAAAATAATCTATGTGATAATACATTAATATTTTGAATTTTATGAAATAAGACTAAATTCAGTGTATCAGCCATCAGTTTTTAGTTATTTCAAAACCAAAAAGCAATATGAGAGCTGCATCTAGGAAACAATACTTGGATTGAAATGCCTTGCCTAGTCATGGCATTGGTGGTATTAAAAGATAAAATATAAAGAATGATTCATTATATTTGCAGCATCAGCAATAAGAAAAGCTTTCAGACTCCTGAACACAAGGGAAAATCTCTGCCTGGAACAGGGCGTAATTGACATTTTCAAACCATAATATTTTAATGTCAATTGAGATGTTAGCAAGTACTTTTTCTACTAGAAATACTAAAATGGAGTCATAAGAGGAAGACCATTTGAGAATAGTAAAATACATTATTTCAGTTTTTTCTTATTAATAGTTACATAGATGTAGGATTGCTGTACGCATTCAGGAGGTTCCAGAACTTGGATGTAACCTGCTGTAAGTTTTCCATGTATACAGTCACTTTTTCTTATCCTCCTTAGGATTTTTTTTTTTTTTTTGGTCATTTGGGGTTTTGCTGTTTTGTCTTAAGGTGATGAAATGCCAACACACCATAGAAATAGCAAATGGCTGGGTAATGTGACGGATGGCAGTCATATAGATACATTACAGGAGTAGTAAGAGGCTTGGGAGTGGACTAGGGACAAATTTGAAAATCATGTGTTGTTGAAGATGTTACGTAATCTTTTTATGCAAAAGGTATCAGGGAAGCAGTCACTTGCAGTGATGGTGTGGCTTAATGACACAGGGTTTGCCATTACCAGTTTCCTCCCTTTCTTTCCATAGTAATCATTCAGACCACTCTGGCTGGCAAAAGTGGTGAGAAGAGGCTGTTTTCTGTATGCCACATGCCTAGAAGTATAGTTACTTCCATGTTAGATATTTTCTTGATTTTTTTTTTATTATTTTGTCTAAAAAAACTGGTTTTTTTCATAATGTGCAATAATTGTTAAATATAAGAATGAAGATTGTTTCATAAAATTCATAAATAGCATCAAATGATGCTATTTTATTAAAAACCCAAACAAACATAGATCAATAGAAGTGGGTGTCATAAAACTAAAAGTAGGAATCTCAACATAAAATATTTTTATGTAATTGTATAGAAAAGCAAAAGATTTCAAAATTAAGATCTCTTGATGATTATTTGGCACATTTGCAGTCGTAACACTGCAAAATATGCCTTGCGTTCCATTTGCTAACTCTTTGAAGCAACAGTCTACAAACATGTAATATATATAAAATGGATACTTAAATGCCCTGTACAGCTTCATACAATGAACTCAGTGTATGTGCTGTTCATCTAATAACTTGCATTATTGCTTCTTTTTCTCTCTTTTCACTTAGTATACACAGATGTTTGTGTACAAAAGCTGGTTATCAGTGTTTCTGAGCTTTTTTGCCCAGTTATTCTCCCAAATTCTACTCTGAAGAAGCACTCAAGGAGAGAGAGCCAAAAATACAGGTAGGCACTTCAAGTGATTTCTTAGATTCAGTCTCTCCATATAGTATTGGTGATACCACTGTTACAAATGGTGGTTAATATAGGGGTGATAATGAATTTTATGAATGAAAAGCTGTTTAAGTTTTAAAGTGGGTGTAACAGGAATTTAATCACCCGAACTCAAAGAAATACATGTAATATTTTAAAATAAATCTGTTAATTTAATCATCTTCTTGCCACGCGACTTGATAAATTAGTTATATCCTCCTATGTTTGCATCTGTATTTTGATGCCCTTAAGACAGTGTAACTTAGATTGCCAGTACAGTAGTGTCACACAACTTGATTAATGGAAGAGGGGGAAAAAAGGTGCAAGCTTGAACTGGACCATCTTTGAATTTTCAGAAAGCATCAGAACAAAGCTGTTAGCTGCAAAAATGCTGTCATTAAAACTTATTTACCAATGAAATAGCAAGCAATGAACAGCCATTGCAGTCAAGTATCCATGGCAAATGAGTAGATCCTCTGCTTGAGGACTGTAGCTGGGGAGAGAAAAGCTCTCAGGGACTTCGAAAAATCACTTGAGTAGCAACAGCTGTTCTGGTCAGGAATCTCCTCCTCCTATTTTGACAGTTGTCAGACATAGGAGAGGATCCAAGACTGTCTTAATCAGTTTGTTAGCTTCATGACAACAGGGTGAAAAATCAGTTGTAGTTATAAAGATTGATTCTGGGAAAACAGCTGAACTTCCTTCAGCCCAGTGACAAACTGTAACTAACAACTAAAGTTGTTAGTAAAGACTAGAGCTGGAACAACATACGAAATTAAATCCATTTCATTTCAAAGCTCTAGGGGGCAGTAAAATAAAACTAACTAAATAAAAAATTGTCCTGTTTTCTACTTGCATAATTGCATTCCCTGTGAAAAAGTAATCTGACAACAAAAAAGAAAACAAGACGGGGAGGTGACACCTCGTTTAAAAGCTTCAGATCCCACTGGCCCTCAGAATATCATTGCTAGAGCTGAGATACTGCACTATTATGACTGGCCAGCCAGCCCTCCAACAGGGCACTCTGTCCCAGAAGAAGGTAACAGGATCGTGTCTTTGGTAAGATATGCCTGTTGGTATGCTTCAGATGCAAAGATAAAGGAGATCTGATAATAGTCTGTACTGGCAGCTGAAATGTGCTTCATACCAGTTTGGTGTTTCCTGAGGAAAACACCAGTCCTTGAGGACAGAAAGGCTGCCTGGAGAGAGACGGAGCTGGCCATGACTCCAAAGCCCAAACTAGACAGTGCTGGCCAGAATGGATGGAAGCTCCGTGAGCTGTATGTAGAGTCCACTGTCTGCTCTATGGGATGGTTCAGCAGAGGTGAAAATTGTCTTGTCTTTGCATAAATTCTGGAGCAGTTATGAGCAGAGATGAACAGCTGATGTAGCTGTCCTTAATGCTGCATAAACCTACCAAGTGCAATGTAAATCACGTGCTCTGCTTATATACGGGATTTCTCATTTCTAACCACTGTGCAACTGTCATGTATCTCACGTTGTGAGATGAGATGTTGTTGCTGATTTATTCTAAACTCATGGCTAATTTAGGCAAGTGAGTTTGGCTTTTTTGATACTTTTCAGTCTCTCAGAAGTTACCAGTATTTTCCCAGGTATTTGCAAGAACTCTAGCTTGTTCTTGTCCCTAAGTACCCAGACCCTCTGTCCCTTCCAAGCAGTATGCTTGCCTTGCTTGACTACTCCAGGATTACTTGCTGCCAGTTCACTGGCTTTCACTACTGTATTTGCAGGAGTCTACTGCTGATGAATCAAATTCAAAGCTCTTAGCTCATTAAGTTTCAGTGTTTTAGTAGGAGCAAGGATTTATTTGTCAGGGAGTTCAGTGACTTTCTGCAAGCGATAGGACCAGAACAGGATCTTTAGCCTTGAATAAAATATGAAAAATAAATTATGTTTGATAAAATTTGTTCTGAGGGTTCATTTGCCTAACAAGGAAATATCCTTTTTTCTTGCTAGCTGCAGCTTATGTTGCTTTTATTTTTCTCCCTTCTCTGATATGCCGTATGTGCAGGTATGGAAACAACTACCTTTTCATAGCAGACAGAGAGTATATTAAGAAATACTGGATATGTAATGCAAAGCCCTCATTTCCCGTGTTTTACTGTCTCTATTTTTAACATTTAGAAAAATAATTGCTATTCCTTATAATGTAGCAGCAAAACAGTATTTTTAATTGAGATTGCTTAAATCTTACTTACTGAATTATAAACTGGTTCAGTCTTGTTAGGCAACTTGTAAGCATCTTTGGGAATATTCAGATTTATTCTGAACTTCCTTTGGAGTTTGAGATTGAACTGAATAGAGGCAAGCATTCAATAATTTTGTGTATAGCTTGTGGTGAAAAATTTAAAGTTATGTTCATAAATCCTTCCTCAGTGGACTTTTTTCCTGGATTTTTGTGATCAATAATTAATTTCATGAGCTGGCAGGGTTCTAGTTCATATTAAAACAGTTTTTTTCTTTTATCACAGAATAAAGATTTGTATTAGCAGTCTTCCTTTGTGGACAGTAACTTACTTGACTGCAAGTAACTACTAGCATGGGCAAAGCCATATAAACTTATTTAAAGAGTCCTGCCATTTGTATTTTTGAAATTGGCCAATATGAAAAATAGTCAAATACTCTCAGATATATTGGTTATTTGGTGTTAGTCACAAATGAATTTGTAAGTTGAATTCAGCCTTTACTTTGTTAGTGGTGAACTTTTAATACTTCTTCGATAGTTCTGAACAAAAATACCAGTCAGTTGATACATATCTCTTTTTAATAACTATAATTCTTTGAATTGGAAATCAAGAGCAAACATTGACATTAGTCCAGGTGATTTGAATGGAAACCTTTTGACAAACTACTATTCTTGGGAGTGATTAATGACCAATTATCAATTTATCTACAAGGTACTATGCTTCTATGCTATTCTGCCATTGTTCCATAAAAAAAAAAAACTGATAAAAATTTACTTTATTCAGTGTGAAAATTGGTTTTTTGAAGTTTTTTAAAGTTTGTAAGAATGTATAAATTTCTACTTTTTTAAAAAAAATGTGTAACTAAAACAGTGTAAAATCTGAACTTCTTTGGTAGGTAGGTCATGTAATTTAGTATCTAAAGGGCAGTATCAGTATAACAACATGCACATTCATTCCTAGTTATTTCTTCCAAACTCACAGCTGCTGTCCTGTCCACCTCACAGCGGCTGCTCAGTATGAAACAAGCTTCAGCATCATCCATTCTAGAAGAGAGGAGACAAGACTGTTACATTCCAACAGAGTATTTACATGGACTCGTGTTTCACAGTTCATAATCTTGCATATAAAACCAGAACACAGAGAAAGTTTAGTCTCTCTGTTCTCATTTCTTTCCCTGGTGCCAGTAGAAGCCGTGCCAAACTAATAAAAGCACAGTGACCTCAAACACGCCTAATCTGCAAAATAAGTATCTGCTGTGAGTATAAAAGGTGGATAAATAGCACCAGTCTGCCTAGTGTGTAAGGGTATGATATGCCCAAGTTATTATTGATAAGAACGAAAAAGATGGGGCAGGTAACTTAATATAGACTTGTCTTGCCTAGCGATAGCAGGAAGTTGGGTAGACATCCAAGAATAATGTGTTTGGGTTAAAAAACATTTCTGTGTATGTATGCATTAAATGAACTATTTTCAGTTCATGGCATTTTTGATTAGGAAGAAATCACGGGAGCTGTATGAGTAATTTCAGCTAAATATGGGAGCAGTATTGGGAAGATAGGGTCTTTACCAAAATTGTAGGAAATTAGATGAGATTTTGATGAGAGCTGATGAGGTAACTCGGGTGACAGTATATATAGATGATTTCATAAGGAAATGAAACCTTATGTGAACATATTCATCTTTTTCCCCAATGTTTTTTTGTAAATTCTTGAATCACTTCAGCCACATATGACAAGGATGATAACCTGCAACTAACATCTGTGAATGTCATTAATTTATACAACAGAAACATTAATGACATCTGTGTTGAAAACATTTATTAGAACGCAGAGTATGAGAGAAGTGTTATTAAATGTCCTTAAAACTAAAAAAGCTTTGTCAATTATACTATTTTTATGTGCTAGTAAACTGACTCTGAGGCAAAAAAACCCAACAATTCTGTTGCTTAGGGATGGCAGAAATTAAAGGGACTTCATATACAGAAGAGAAATTTGTGAATGAAAAAAGTATAAGCCAAAGAAAAAGAGTGAATATGGTTCACCTAAGAAAGTGGAGGGCAGAGAGAAAAAATATTTGAGGTCATGACAGAATATGGAAGAAAGCTGTGGGGGAAAGAAATCAAGCATGGTAGTGTTATTCACTGTCTAGTGCTAGTCTACATGGAGAATGAGAACTGTTTTAACCAGTTACTGTGTTGTTTCAGTGGCTGAAGTAGCTGTAAAGTCTCCAGTCAGGCTAATGAACAGTGTGGCACCTCATGACAGAATTTATTCAGTTTCTTTGTTAAAGCTGCACACATAAACACTGTTCAGAGAACACCAAAAGTTTGCAAAGTGACGCCTTCAAAGACAGGAAGAAAGAATGAGTATCATTTTTCTAAAGTCAAATTGTGTACTAGGGCATAGAAAGAAAAATAGTCTTTTATTAACTGACTACTCCCTACTTACACAACTGGCCAACTTTTGATATTCCTTTACTTTGTGGTGTGACCTCCATCACGTTATTTTCACATTGGATTTCACAAATAATATATGTATAAATTTTGATAATGAGATACTTCTTAATAATTTTGTTGTTGTTTTTAACCATTATTTATTAGAATAAGTTTACCATGTGCCTTGTTATCTTCTCAGCACATTATGTTCTCATTAAAAAGAAATGCAGCAAACGTCTTGGTACTGGGTTATATTTCATGTTAAATGTTCTATTAAATTCCCACTATGCTGCTTCTCTCAGGAGAGGCTGAAAATTATTCTGTGACAGGTACATTCAATTACATGTTCTGTAGGAAAAAGCACAGTTCCACAGCTGACTACCTCCAGGTTATTATAAGTGAATATCAAGATTATATTTAGGGAACAGCCTAATTTTTCTTCTCCTAATGTGTGGAACAAATGTCAGCTAAATCCACACATGAATTCCTTCTCAAAATCAGCAAGAATAAAAAAAAAAAAAAAAGGAATTTCACATTTCACTAAAAGAAAATTTCTGTTCCTGAAAAAAGCTTTATTGTCTTGTCAAATTTTAAACAGATGTAGAAGTAGCTTTTTTTTTCAGTGACAGAAGTCTGAGAAGATAACACTGCTCATGAGGCTTCTCACAGATGAGATTCTTGGAAATAACTCCCTTTGGGTAAAGAAGGCTGAATGACACAAATAGACAGCTATTGGCTTCATTTTTCAATATCTACATTATAGAGCAATGCCGATAGGTTAACTCAGTTATTTGCTAAGAATCAACTTTCTCTCTGGAGAGTGTAGAGAGACAATCATTCTATGTGAATTCCACTAAGAATTCCATCACAGGCTCAACTGATTGAGGAATGGGGGGGGAGGTGTGTGTGAGGAACTGTGTGTGACTGATGTGTTTTGGTAAGCGTCAGTCACTATTAACTAGCGGAGAGCAGAGAGCATTTCTTAGAAGGGGTGGATGTATGTGGTAAGAGGAGGGCCCTGAAGGAAGACTATATGGAGGTAAAATAGGTGCTTAATATTGCCAGGCTGAACCTAAGAAGAAAGCAAAACTGTACAGTGCGTTCAAAGGGTGATAATTAATTATGTTTCCTTTTTTTCTCTTTAGTTGGTCAGGAGAACTACCATCACATTTACCGTATTTTCTCAAGAAATAGAGACATATTCTATCATTACTGTCATTTTGGAATATACTGTTCTGCTTTTTCAGAGGAAATCACAAGCATTCCGTTTCAATACCTTTAAACACTAAGACAGAAAGACAGTAAAAAAAATCCGGCCAAATGAAAATGCTCACAGATATTTGTTCCTTGAAAAATTTCAGATATTAAGGAAAACTAATTATATCAAAGAGCTTTGCTTTGCTTTCTAAATACACATTCTAAATACACATTTCCTTCTAGCACAGCTTTTGTTGTTTGTTAAAACTATTTATCAAACAATATGAGTGAAACAAAAGCAAAAAAACATGATCAATATTTGCCTACTTGGCTCTCAACAGGTCTTGATCTTTTAGTGCTGAGCCTTGCAGGTAGATAACTCTTTGGGACCACATTGGGATTTGTAACACCCTTCGCACCTGAGCATCCATCTCGGTAGGGCACAAAATAACGACATAATAGTCCTGTCAAAAAAAAAAAGGGAGAATAGTCATCTTATTTTCCTATGTTACCATTTATTGTTGCTGGAGAATGAGTCAGCAGTGACTTGGGATGTCAAAAATGTCTCTGATAGTCACTGATAGTCAGAGTTGATTTCCCCTTTTTTTTTTTTTCCTTTACATTAATGGGTGATTCCATACTCTGCTTCCTGTGCTACAGGTAGTCCTTGTTAGGAAAAGAAAGGTTGGTCTGAAGCATACATGTGTGCAGAGATTAAAAGGAGGGGTAAGCGTAACATGAGAGGAGAAACTGAGAGCTTAGGACACGCCTGTCACAGAAGTCTTCCTTGGGACACTCAGGGTTTGTGGAAAGCTTTGTGCACTGAATGCAGTGCACCTGCATCCTTCAGCTTCCCAGTTCAAAGAATCATTAAGGTTGGAAAAGATCTCTAAGATCATTGAGTCAAATTTGATTTCAGCTGTGAAGGGAATGTATATAAGCTCTTTTATTCTTCCTATGTAGTATTTGGACTTTTCTTCTTTGTCTCCAGTGTATCACAGAACCTGACTCATTCTTCAGGTTAGTTGACTAAATTTTGGATTTCAGTTTGTGTTTCCATCTATAAAAAATGTGATTTCTTTGTGCATTTGCTTATGGCTCTTGCTAGCTAATTATTTTGGGGAATATTTTGGATTTGGGATTCGGCAAATTGCTGCTCAGCCAATTGAGGATTGTATTTGTGTGATTTTTTTGCACTAGTTAATGAAGCATGGTACACAGGTAACTTAGTAAAAGGCATAGAGAAGATTTAGTAAAAGAAATAGTCTGTAGCAAAGGTAATGATAACAAATCCAAATTGCTATCTCATGTAAATAGGCTTTCAGATGTTCCAAACAAGTCATATGACAAGTTTGCAGTAACCAGGGAATATGTGTACACTAAGAAAATCTCTTCCATGTAATTTTTTAAGGTCTTCGTCCTTTAAAGTACAAATATTTATTTCTTAATTTCCACAATTCCAAATGGATCTAATCTTTAAAATCCTGTGCAGGGTGCTCTAGGATGACCCTGCTGGAGCAGGGAAGTTGGACCAGATGGCCCACTGTGTCCCTTTCAATCTCACCTATTCTGTGATTCCAAACACTGGCAAAAAACAAAGCAAAACATGAAAACCAAAAGATGCTTTGACTTTTGAGGATTTTTTGATCCAGTCCCAAAATAATGGGAAAAAAACCACTTTCATTTATTTTCTACTTTGGGATAGAATCTAAGGAATTTGCATGGAAATTCGTGTTTCTAAAAGGACTGGCATAATTCAACAAGACAGTAATTCTACCTATTTAGTCTATTTACCTCAATTTAAAATTCTATACCTCAGCTTCTTACTGCAGTTATAGATTCCCAATTCTGCTAGCTATTCCCAAATTCAGTTTTAGAAATTAAAGACCATTTCAGAAGCCTTTCTGAAAAAAAAAAAAAAAATCAGTATTTTGCGTTTCTTATTTTTTGAATTTTTTATTTTTTCTTTAACTCTCAGTACCTGCAATCTGGGGTGAGCATAGAATTCATTTAAGAAATCCATAAGTAAGTCAATCTTCAGAGAGCTTACACACAACACAACATGTTTTTCTGTCTGAGCTCTGTATCGACTGTAGTTTCCACCGGACTTTTGTCTCTCCATCCATAAATATGCCAGCTGTTCAAACTGCAAGAGATGCCAATTGTCAGTGGAATATAGACAAGGTGTGCAGTGCAACTGTATAATGACTTGACAATGTTGCATAATTCAATCTCATGCCTCTATGAAAAGCTGCCCTTAGCCCACAATGTCTTTTTCTTTGTAAAATGTTCAAGTGTATGAGAGGAATAACAGGGTGATTGAAAAACATGGCAATAGTGCCAGAATCTACCACACACAAATAGCAGTGAAAGTTCATTAAAATATCATGAGATTACATTAAATCTTAAGATTTTGGAAAAGAATGAAGGCTGGCACCTTATTTCTTTAAGTATTTTATACCTCTGGGCTCTCTTTATCTAGTGCCATGTGACATAAGTGGTTCCCTCATATGAAAGGTTAAATTTTCACACGTTACTTGGATAGAAGCACCATTTGACTTAGTTTGGGCAATAACTCTTCCCAGAGATTTTATAATGTTCTGAAGGTGACCTGCTGTATACTCGCTAGTCTGTCTTATAAATTTAGATACAATTTAAAACCACAGAAAACACAGTAGCTGTTAATACAGCAAATTTGCTTTTGTCACCTGAACAATATAGGCAGGCTAACAGTAAATATTACTAGTCTGAATCCCTGAGACTAAAGAGAATACTGTAGCAGTCTGTAATAAAACATACAAACACCATTTCAAAGCTTCTTGTAAGTAATACATGCTTAATACTGAGGTCAATTTAACTATATGTTTCTGTCATAGCTGCTTTTTCTCATCCACATTCAACTGATGGTGAAGTTGAATCATGAATAATAACTGATTGCATATCATAGCAGGACAAAAGTTCAGGAAAGAATGCCTCCCACATTCTGTGTATGGAAAACTGAAGGAAGCCCCATTACCACTACAAAGTTATAAAAGAAAGTAGCTAATAATAGGTAAATTTATGTGAAAGGCCAGTAGATTCTAGATTATTTACTGCTAATGTAGACCTCTTATTTCTGAAGTATGAAAGATGAAATATCTATATTCTAGGAAATTGCAAATTTCTTAAGCAGAGCACATTTTAGTTTTCAATAGAATATATATTTTACTAATTTTTCACTGAGGGAGCATATAATTGTATTAGCGCATACATCTGTGAATACAGACATTAAATATTTAGGTTATAATTAGAGCATTCAAATAACTTCAGTAAAATTAATGCTAAGAGCTTGAGCTTCCAGCCTCCCAGGGTTTCTGTGTTATCTGCTCACAGTGAGCTTTAGTTCACTGTCAAAGAAGTTGAGTCTGGAAACTCTGCCTGTGTGAGAAACTTTGGAGCTTCATGGTCTAGCAGGTCTACCATAAGCTTTGATGAAAATGCTCAGTGTCTCCCCACACCCTCTCTTTCTGTCACAAGGTCTGGGTGATCAGTGGAACAATGAACATCTTGGCAGGGCTTCCCATGTAACCTCAGAGTTTCTGTCATCCAGCCTCACCTAATGAGCTGGAAAATGCTTGGTGCAAATTTAACAAAGCCCTTTGAATCCTTGAAATATTTGGATTTTCACAAATCAGTCTTTTCCTGTTAAAAGTGTTAGAAAGTCCTAAACCTAAGTAGGCATGAAAAATTCCTAACTGTGCTTTTGGTTCTGTGTGTGTGTGTACCATACACAGCTGTGAACCCAGTTTGCTGGAGTTGCAGATTTAATGAGATTTTTTTCAAGTTAGCACTGAGCTGTAAGAGTAAGAGAGGAAGTGGAGAGAACCAAGATTAGAAACAGGGAGAGCCTGCTGAGGAAATGCTACACTCATAAAGAAAGTGCTGGCTACTGTTGTGCTTTTTTTTTTAAATTGCTCCATTAATAACAAACCCGTATCTCAGGATAAAAGAAGGGCTCTGTGGTACATGACGGGAGCAGAAAGCTTTCATCAGCATTTGAAAACTGTTATTAGTGCTCTGGTTTTTAGTATAAATCTAGAATATAGGAGAACATACAGGAAAAAGGAAAAAAAAAAATAATAGAAGATGGTTCTTTTTTCTGACATTTTTTATGCAATAATAATAGTAACAATAAATTATTTCAATTATTCTTTTGTTTTAAAAACAATTCTAAAGAGAAGAAAAATCCAAATTTACCTGAATGGGCAGCACCACAAGAGCAACACAGATCATAATGACAACAAGCAGCTTTGAAGGCCATATCTTGGGTGTAACATCCCCAAAGCCCACAGTGGAAAATGTCACTATGCAGAAATAAAGGGAGTCAAAGAGAGTCAACCTGTTTCCTGCTCGTTCCAGATGCTGAATTCCACAAATACTATGTAGAAAAGAATGAATAAAGACATGAAAAATAAAAACTGTTCAAGCTTGATGATTATATGTGCAGAGAACTATTTATTTTCAGAATTCATAAATTGCTTAGCAAAGACATTTTTTCAAAGAAGAGTAAAAATTAGTATCAGAACAGAAGTGCATTATTGATATAATTTCCAAATGTCATTTGTAATAAAAGAAACTCATTTTTTGATTATTCCGGTATGATAGGCACAACTGTTGCTAGGCTTTGCTTAGTGGCTGTTGTGAGGGAGAGGTGGTATATAGAACATTATGGATTGATGAAATTCCTTTCTAAACCAGAACAAAACAGATGGTATATAGCTGCCACCATTCAAAATTTTTTATAGATATCTTTCAACTTCTATAAGGAGAGTTTGCTGGTATGGCCAAGAAAAATGTACATACTTTAAATCTATCCCTCTTTATGCTGGTCTCTACCCCTTTGGGTGGCAAGAGTTACTAGTGTGAACTAGTTATGAGAATGTGTTGCATATCTGAATACTGTTGATACAAATGGGTACTGACTGCCTAGAATAAATTAGAATGTGAGAATTGCAGGCTACTGAATTGTCAGAGGAAAAAGCATCCAGGGTCAGCCTTCAGGCAGAAAGTGGAAGATGACAATTGGTAAGAAGAGCCTGCTCGCTAAAAGTACAGAATAGAAATATGAGACTTGGTTGTCTTTAAAGGCAGAACAAGTGAAGTTCATCCCTTCCAGTTACACATTCCTGAGAACAACTAAATGGTAGCCCAAGTTAACTGGTAGTTACTTCTCTTGTAATCAGCATGATGTGCTTTTGGTTTTGAGAAGCAGTAGGAGAATCTGTCCCCAGGTCATACTGCTATTTCATATGTTGTAAATTTTAAAAATATTTCACTTTGTAAAAATATACCATGATAAAGAGCTTCCCAAGCTTAAAATGTGATCTTCTCTGACACAGTAGAATGGCTTAGATGAGTTCAGGCTTTTTAATTATATTCACCTATATTAAAAAAAAAAAATCAATTGCAGTGTGAACCACCCTGAATAGCGGTTTTTCCCCTTGGAGTCAGCAGAATGATTTGTCCTCAGAGAATTAGATAAATATTGATAAATTATATCACAGGCCACCGTAATTACTCTAGAACATACTAAATATAGTGTCTTCATATATGGTATCCAAATGGTAACAGTAACTCCCTAATATCTGCCATGGTAAGATCTTTGCATCACCAGGAAGACCCTGTGTTTATAACAGTGTTAGCAGTTGTTCTTCTGTTCTCTGTTCTGTTCTCCAAAAATAATTTAGCTGTGGGCAGTGGCATTTCCAGAACATATGGATCAAATTCCCAGTTTCCTTTTCACAGTTCTAGCATTTGTAGTTTTCACACATCTCAAAATGTTCTAAAAAGGGTGGGGTTTTTTCCCTGTTGTTTGCCTAAGTTTCATGCTTCAGTCAGAACTGATATTTATATTCTATCCAATTCGTCCCACATTTTTCACTGGAGTTGTAATCTAGATCTTCCATAATTTCACTATGTTCACAGTTTTTCTGGGGATTTTTTTGTGATTTTTTTTTTTTTTTTTTGTTTTTGTTTTTTTTTTTTTTTTTGTTGTTGTGGTTTGTTTTTTTTTTTTAATTTTTTTTTTTTTTTACAAAAAAGATAATTATATTTTTGTCCCTGAAAATACTAACAGAAGGACTGTAAGAAATTATGCTAATGATGCTTTCTTTTGGTCTCAGATCAAGGAAGTTTTTCAGCTAAAGCCTCTTCCAGTATTAATTTGAAATAATGAAATATACTGTAGAGGCATCAAAGTATGGAAAAAGAACCCATTTTAATAACAATATTTACATAAGTTACATGTAGTTTTAAAAGCAGAATTTTATGGATTTTTTTATTTTTATTATTCCTGATCACCTTGGTGCATTTTCTTCTCTTTAGTTGTCTTTTTTGGGTATATCCCTCAAACACATAACTTTGACTTCAGGAATTAAGGCCATAAGAGCCAGGAAAGCAGCAGTTTCACTGAGCCAGTGATATGACTCCCATGTAACAGGACTATTACACCACTCCATCCAATGTATTTAATATCTGCAGATGAGGTTGTATTGAAGCATAATGCATGATCCTATCATTGGTAGAAATGTATTTTTTCTGCTGATGATGCCTCTGAAATTGCTTGGTGTTTGTATATGCAAAAGGGTCAGTTTTACTCTTTGTATCTGACAGGATGGATCAAAATGTAAACCTCTTAGGCTGGTGGGGGTTTTTTTACATTTTTGAGGAATTAGAGTTGTTTCTTCCTTCTTTGTTCTTTTTGTAAAACCTTAACAAATTTCTTAATAGCTTGCTGGTAGGAAAATTCAGGTCTTGATGAATGAGTTATTTTCTTTATAATAATAATTACTATTATTATACACGAGTTTTCCATAGCTAGCCCACCCAATCATACTTTAGTTAACTAAGGTAATATATCATGAACCATTTCAGCTTTTTCTAAGTGAACAGTAGAATTCCTATTGAATTTAGTGAAATCAAGATTTCATTTTACCAGCTCTACTCCCTTGCAGTCCTATATATTCCTATATCTTAAAGCTATCAAAATAATGTGCCTGATCCAAAATCTTGTGGATTCAAGATGTTTCTCACTGAATTTAGTGGGCATGAGCCAGGGTTTCTCACATTTAGTTAACAATATTAAAGTCACTAAGACATGGGGGCTATTTCTTCTTTGCTGAAGAAGAAATTCAGCTCTCCTAACAACTTGTTGATTAAATTAATTACTTTCCTCAAAATTATTTACACCTCATTTGCAGTTCCACTAAACTGTATTTGAAGCCCTAACCCTGAAAACGGGGGAATGATAAATCCAAACTCAGGTTACCAAGTCATACTTGGATTGGGTGTTTTGATGCTCTGCCATTAGTCTTCAACAGAACCAGAGATCACAAGACTGCAGAAAAACCTGACTTTAAAGAGACAATTTTATGGGAGTCTAATTAACAAATAAAATATTGCTCTGGTACTGTTTCCCAAGAATATTATACTTTCATCTCACCACCCATGCCTTTAAAGGAATGTTACTCAGTGTTTCCAGCATGTCCCCCTCTGTTTGGGTTACCAGGTTATACTGCATAGAGAGTGCAGGCCAAAATGTCAGTGGCTGTCCATGAAGCCAAGTCCACATGGATTAGTTATTCCATTCCCCACGACTTACTGACATCTTTTAATACAACCTAATTCTTTAGATGAATAGTAGTATCAGCTTCTTTTTTTTCCTCATAAATTAAGTGTTAAGTATTGCTTTTAGCATAAATACTGCATGTAACAATACATATGTTCTTTTCTGCATTCTTATGTTTACTGACATAATGAAATGTGCAGTAATTTGGGCTTCATGTTTTGCCTGCTGTCATATTTTTAGTGGTATTTTAATCTCCTTGTTCTTGTTTGCTTCCTCTTCCTCTTTCATTGCCCGAAGAAACAGTAGTTTCTTTGGTCATCCCTGGAAAAATGTAATAATTTCAAGCAAGAAAGGAATGTTCAGTAAAGGCAATGCTCACATGAACTTGGTTTTGTGCAGAAAATAAATCACTGTAATAATTAGTACACAGAAAGTCCCTATCAGAAAACATTTCACAAACTTACAGAGAGCAGAAGTATGATTTTAAATACTCTGCTACCACTGCACTTGAAAACCAGAAGGTAAGGAAAACAACATGTAACCTCTGAAGATTAGTAATGTTTAGTTTAGGTATTATTTGAACTTTTGAGAGTTCAATCTTTGTTTTACGGGAAGTTTTCTTTCTAGTTCCAGGAATCCTTGTTTGCTTGAGTATTTATGTGCCAAAACTAACTACTGTTTGCAAACAACCTGTCTCCACATGCAATACAGAAGTAAGTACTGTAAAGTAAAATAACCCCTGAAATTGTCAGCTTTTTGTCATGCTGCAGAAGCACGTCAGAGAAATGGACACAACAAGAACCATTTGGATAGTAATTTGCAAATACTGTACATTAACCATCCTTATTTATGATCATTTGTTTACAATCTATTTGATATTAGCATATATTTTCATTACTCAGAGTTGGCAAATATGTTTGATTTCTAAATTATTATTTTTACTTTTTTTTTTTAATTGTTTACAGGTACAACCCCTTCAGGTCTAACATAATGCACCAGATGCTGAGCCCAAAGTCAGAGCTGCTTATGTAGGGACTAGCTAATGACTGTGTTGAAATCAATGTGGACTAATTTTATCAGATTCAGTGTGATTCTGTGGTAAGAGCTCAGTGCTTTTATACTACAGAAGTTACCTGAAACAAGTCAGAAATACAGCAATTCTGCTTAAGCAAGTTTTCCCAAGTAGTTTCTCACACCCAAAACTCTTTACAATTTCCTCATATTCTACCACAGAATGGTGATGTTAAAACTAATTATAAATTAAATCCCAGTGATTTGATTGTTCTGTACTGCCAGTTGCTGTTTATATTATTTTAAAAGTTTCTAATGCTACTATCACGGATTTTTTTTCTTTATGACAAGAATTGGTATGAACTATCAGTCAGCAAAATTGTTGATAGACCACCAACTGTAGCAAATATCTACGGGTAAAATTCAAATATAGCAAAATACTGAAGAAAAGGACCATGTTAACTTCCCAGGAAATACACAGATAGGCATTCAAGACATATTTTACCACTACATTGTCTGTAACTATCCTGCTTAAGGAAACTTCCTCCATCTTTACACCAAATCGAACAGTTCATACTTCAGTCTGACTCTAGGAGGCATGTGACATCTCTCAGAAGTCTGATAAATGCATAGAGGTTTTGCTTAAAATCAGCAAAAAGTGCTAACTACTTGCCAAAGATGTTAATATTAAGCTGGTGCCAGTTTTAAGTCCTTGAACTGAAGGTGATGTTAGGACTAATGCTGTATCTGGAGAATGCCCTGCTTTGCACAGAGGAAAACAGTTTTTCATACTAGAAATT